TGGGTTTTCAGGCAACCTCGACCCTGTTATTTTGAAGAAAATCCGGGTTGACCATGTAACACCACTCAGATCAGTGTGAAAATACATATTCTAAAAATTATAAGAGCTCTAATTTTTCAGAGGAAGAGAAGTGCACGAAATTGTAGAAGATCTTAAAAAACTTAATCTTTTTGGAAGGAAACTTAAATAAATTATTTAAATTTTTGAAATTATTTAATTTGTTCTCTTTTCCAGTTTTTCACATGCCTTTATTAAAATAATTAAATTTTTATTGAAACTTTTTCTTTCATTCACCAAATTTAATTTAATAATAGGCTTACAAAATATTTGTAAACTATGAACTCATTCATTTCAAAACATAGTTATAGGGCTCAGACCAGACGTGGGCGAAACGTTTCGTTTCGTTTCGTTGTTTCGTATGTTTCGTATGATTTTTACTGTTTCGTCTCGTTTCGTTACGAAACACTTTTAAATTTGTTTCGTTTCGTTTCGTTACGAAACACCTGTGATTTTTCAACGAAACGAAACAATTTTTTAAGCCTAAACTAAGGCCAAAATCTATAAAATTTACCATCTTTTATTGAAAATTTAAAAAATTTTCGCCTGCGGCGCTGAAAAAAAAAGAATTTCGGCTTCTTGGCTTTCCCAAATTGTCAAAATTTTCGCCTGCGGCGCTGAAAAAGGAAGATAGCAATTACTTATATACTACAAATCCGTTTATACTCCACTCCCTAATCCACATATACATATTACTTAATCGACGTCAAATTCTATTACCGGACTCGCATCATAATTTAAAAATTGCGGATTGCGAGTTGCGGAAATACTGGAACCGGAACTTCCGGCGAAGCACTAGCTTATATCGCCTTCCTCTCGAAATGGAGATATGGAGACAATTTGGGTAGGCAATGGAGCAAGATGGTGAATTTTTTGGCCTACGGCCTTTCAAAATTTTAAAATTTTTCGTCTGCGGCGCTTAAAATAAAATTTTACTTGAAAAATATTCAATTTTATTTAAAAAAAAGCGTCGCCAAAAATTTGGCTTCGAAAATGATTGACCCCCCCCCCCTTCCCCGAAAATTTTCCTTGCTACGGGCCTGGCTTATGGGACACAATTGTTGTAAATAAACCAATAACTAAATCATTTATAAGTCATAGTCGACTAATAACGTATTTGAGGTCGAATAATTTCGAAATAAATGCAGTTTTGAAAATTTTTTGAATATTAAAATGTTTCGTTTTGTTTCGTTTCGTTTCGTAAGATTTTGGTTGTTTCGTTTCGTTTCGTTAACGAAACGATTTTTAAAAAATTTTGTTTCGTTTCGTTTCGTCAGAAAAAAATTTTGAGTTTCGCCCAGGTCTGGCTCAGACCTTTCGGTCTGGCGCACCTTCAGAGCGCCGGTTGGAGGATTTGGGGATTGAGCGTGGATGCGTAGAGGACCTATTTACCAATTTAATTAAATTTAGATTCACTAAAATGTTTATTTAATATTTAAAAATTTTTTATTGAAGTGGAATTGAGCATCTGAGGAATTATTGGAATAAAGGATTAAATCGGAAGAACACATCTGACCTGAACTATCATTTGTTGTTCGACTTTTCGGTTAAATATTGGGGAAAGTGGGAGGGAGGGAATATAATGTACAAAGTGTTTCTTGGCTTAAGTTTTGGGAAATTTTTGGTTTTACATTGCAACATTGCAAAATTGGATCAAAAATTTCTGAATAAAAGTTATACGCTGTGAGAGTATGGTCAAAATTTATTACCGATTTTTTGCTTTAAGCCCTCTAATTTTAGTAGTTTTGAGCGAATTATATTTTAGATATGTAAAGAGGTTTTGTGCATTGGATTTTGTGATTTTTTGTGCAGTTTTTTTGCATTTTTTCCACCTTTTCAAGTGGCAAACCTCTCTTAATTTTTACTCATTAATTTTTAATTTTATTTTATATGTATTAATTCGAATAGCTCTCTGTAAATGCACCTGCGTTTTTATAAATGCTTATTATAATTGAATAATTTAATTTAAATTTTTGTTCAATTTTTTTATTCACTCAAAAATTTAAAATTAATTTTCCAATAATCAAAAGACAATTTTAAAATGTTCAAATTTTTATTTCCCCCAAATGGACGTCTTTTACAAACTTGTATATTTACCTTTATTATTTCCTTCCTAAATTTATTTTTTCAATCTTACTCAACTTTTTATCCAAATACGGCTGCAGAGAACATTCAAAAATATATTAATGATTCTTATCTTGCACGTGGACAAAAAATTTCCGAAAATTATTTATTGTGGTTTTGGAATTTTGTTTTGAATTTGCCCTTTCTTGGGTTTTTATTGAGTAATTTATTAGCCCCCTATTTTTGTGAAAGTTTTGGAAGAAGAGGTTTGGGGATTTTTAAAATGTTTGGAAATTAAATATAAAGTGCTACAGGACTTGTATTATAAAAAAAGGGCTCTTATTTTACAATTTTTAGAACCGAGCTATATCCATTTTATCACTCGGTAGGGGTTAAATAACCTAAAATTCAATTTCTTATGATAACGATAACCATGACCGCTCGATAGGGGTTTATGACTTGATCATTTGACCATGAACCACAGGTGAACCACTGTTGTATCCACTTCAACCAAGTCCTATTTCACCTTATCGAGACTCTCTCTCTACTATGATAACCATTAATAACCGCTCTGTTTCAACCTAGTTAAGTCCTTTTTAAGCCACCAAAATCCTCAAAATTTAATTAATTTTTAACTCAAAATAAATAATTATTTAATTAGCTACTTTGATTTACACAAATTTTGCTTCCTTCATTTCTGCTTTATTAACTACAATCTCAGTTATATATCTGATACCTGAATTATTTTTGATAAGTGGAGTGTTTGGGGCAGCTGTAACTAATATTAATTTTTGTGCTTTTGCTCTATTTTCAACGGTTTTTAGATATAGTAGATGGATCACATTATAAGATACTCCCTCTGGGCTGAGAGATTCTCCCATAATGTTTTTTAACTGGGAATTATCCTTAGGCAGCTATCTCTATTTGCTAGGCAATCAGATTTTAATAAACATATGTTAGTAAGAAGAGACATCGAGCTGGCAATAGGGATAGGGCCTAGAAATATCTGTAATCTCTCCCTTACTATATCTTAAATTGATGGGGAGTATCTGATAGGGTGACACGACTCGGGCACAGTGATCCATTTGCACAGTAAGTCTTTTGCACAGAGGGCATCTGCACAGTAGACAATTGCACAGTAATTTGTGGTTACCGTATATGCTCTATTAATTACCCTCTCTCAAATAATTACCCCCGCTCTATTAATTACTCCCTCCAGAGAGAGATCGAAACAATAATTACCCCTCCTAAAAACAGTTATAATTAGCCTGTTTTAAAAAAGCTCAAATAATTACCCCCGCTCTATTAATTACCCCCTTTAGCGTGAGGTTGAAACAATAATTACCCAGGGTAATTATTAGAGCATATAGGTAAGTGGATTTGTGTTAGATTTTACTTATTGTTATAAGGGAATAAAATGTTATTAATTATTATTAGGCCGGGTCATAATTAGTGTCACTTTTTTAATTTGGCTTTTTTTGATTTTAAAATTAAGTTTTTAGAAATTATTTTTTATTTTTATTATGAATCATCTGTTAGAGTATGTTCTAAAGGATCTCCGCATTTGTGAATTTTTGGTTAGGTACCGCCTTGTAGTTCTGAGTCTGCTCTATCGGATAAACACCTTTTCACATTTTTAAAAAATTTCTTACGGGACAGGCACTTTACTGCGTTTGGTAGTACAGTGCATCAGAAATCAGATTTTTAAAATGGTATCCAAAAACTCTTTCCTGTTTAAAAAATGTTGTTAAGACTTGGGGCAATTATTATGTTCAGTTAATTTTTTGTTCGTTTGATTCTTTTTGTGTTTTAAAGATTTTTCTCAGAAATCTTATTTTTGGAAAAGGTAGAGATCGCCGAAGAGGTCGGTCGATAGTTTTCGATAAATAACGAATACCGAAAAATAGCGAAAAAGTCGAAATTTTCTCAGTCAATATTTTTCGATAATATTTTTTCGGTGTCAAAAATATCGAAAAAAATCGTTCGGTCCAATCTCTAATAATTAGTAACATTTATTCCCTTATAACAATAAGTAAAATCTAACACAAATCCACTTAACCACGAATTACTGTGCAATTGTCTACTGTGCAGATGCCCTCTGTGCAAAAGACTTACTGTGCAAATGGATCACTGTGCCCGAGTCGGAGCGCCATCTGATAGTGAGGTCTGGCTTCATTTTATAAAATATTTATTCAAAAGGAATTTCCTGCCACAAAATATAGAGGCTTGGCAGCATTTATAGGAGGCTTTAATTTTAATTTTGGTGGAAATATTGGAATGATTTTGGGCGTGGATTGGTTTTTAGGAAGGAATTTGGTCTATTTAACAGGCGAAAAAAATTTTTGTAATAAAAAGAAGTATTTTTAATTTTAAAGGAATAGCTTTAATACCTACATTTTTGTCGATTTTTTTACTTATTCCTATAAAGGAAACACCAAAATTCCTTTATCTTAAAAGGCAAGACAAAAAGGCAACGTTGGAAGCATTAAAATTTTATCAAGGTGTGAGTTATCTTTATTTTTTGATAAAAAAAAGACGGTGAGACAATGCAAGGACAATAAGTTAGAGTTATCTGAGACCATATCTTCCGGAAATTAGTAAATTGACATTTTTGGATCCTTGAAGCAGGAGACTAACATACCAAAAGAAGAGTGATTCAATCCCTATCAGAATAAGAAATCAAGCAAAATATAGGTCACCCTGATCCCTCTCCTTGGTCGGCTACTTTATATAACGCTTAAATAATTCATCACAATTAAATTTAATAAAAATTATTAAAAGGTGATAATATTGACCACAAAGAATTTCTTCAAGATTTGAAGAAGGAGCGTCAAAATAACGAGAAATGCGACGAGAAAACTCCAATTTTTCAAATTCTAATGGAAATCTTAACTCAAAAACATTTATTTCTTGCATCGGTATTGAGTGCTGCCTCTCTCCAGTTAACTATTGGACCTTGGCCTGTGGCAACAACTTTATTGTCCTACCATTTTGATATTGAACAAGCACAATTTTTTGCTACTTTTTGTACTTTTAGTTCTTTAATAGTGAATATTCCAGGCACTCTTATTTCTGAACGGTGAGCAAGAATTTTTCAGAGGAATCCTCGTAACGGGGAAGGATATTTAGTTGAAAGAGTACCTCAATAATAACTTTATCATTCAATTTAAAAATCGAAACGAGACAAGATCTCGATCAAAAATCTGTTATTTTCAAGATGTTGATCTCGAATCTTGATAGACCTTCATTCTCTATCCCAAACCTAAACTAAATTCCGGTAAATCCAAAAATTTATTTTTAGTGTAAGCCGCCGTTTATTGCTTCTCTTGCCTGGACTTACAAGTGTTTTAAGCCTCATTTCATATTTAATTTTTGACCGGCTAACTTTATTTGATGAAATATTCCGTTATGGATGTGCATTTTCTTTTATTATTTATCTGTCTTGTTTCGGGTAATTATTGAAAAATTTTAGAAGTTCTCTTTTTAGACTATCTCTAGGCACAATTCCTTTCTACATTGCAGGGGAATTATTTCCCCAAAATTTTCGTTCAACTGGCCAAGCAATTGTGTTCTTTTTCTTTTACTTATCAGGCTTTGTTTTTAATATTTTAATTTTGCCCTTGTATGCGTCTATTGGAGTTTGGTGTTTTCTTCCTTTATTTATCATTCCACAGAGTTTTTGTTTAATTATTCTTTGGATATTTCTTCCAGAAACAAGGTAGATGAATTTTAAAAAAGCAACTGGAATTAAATAAATTAATTTTTAGAGGAAGAGAAGTACACGAAATTGTGGGGGATCTCAAAAAATATTGGGAAAAAAGCACAACAAAAGTTCAACTGATAAAATGTGATACATCCTTGCCCGATTTATAAACCATTTCAATGTTAAATTTCTTTTCTATCTAATTTCGAAAAAAATTGGGAGCGCAGTTGTCTCATAGAACATCAGCACACAAAGGCAATTGTCGCAGTGTTGGACTTTTCCTCCAACCTCCTTGGTGCATATTATTTACTGGTGGAAGTGTTGCCTCCCAGCCAGCCATGCCCTGCACCCCTCCATAACAACCCTTTCGAGTAGTTTTCCTCCTGGCCTTGATCCGAGTATAAGCTTTTTAAGCAAATACTCGAAAATCGATGTCAATCAACCTGATAAGGCTTCTTGACGGAACAGTGCCAACAGACCAATCGGTCTGTATGACGCTTCAGTGTCTTCCGATTTAATTAGACCGGTCGACGTGATGACAACTCACAGATAAAATGAGAGTTAGTCGTTTAACAATTACATAGCCGAAAAGCAATGCAACTGAAATTTCACCTTCTACCAACAACGAAACGCTTCATTAGTGGAAGGTGGCCAACACCACTGAGAATTTGCACTCTCTTTTTCACCATTGTGTCTTATGCTCTCAACAAGGCTTTTCAAACTGCCACTACGCTCACAAAATCCTTGCCCGATTTATTGCTAATATAACTGTTGGTAACTATTTGTACAATTTTTGTATGAGTTGCAAAAGGGAAATATTCTCTCATTTTTTATATAGTCTTTCTTATTGTTTCTCTTCTCTTATTGCTTTACTTTTTTCATTTCTAACAGTTGAGTATATTTTGTTTTTATTCTCTTCTCTTTTTATAAATTAGTACTTTAATTAGTATTTGCTTTCATTTTTGGATAAAATTTTCATTTAGTTCAGAAAAAAATTTGGGAGCGCAGCTGTCTCATCGAACATCAGTACACAAGGGCGATTTGTCGCAGCGATGGACTTTCCTCTGACCTCCTTGGTGCATATTATATTGGTACAACATCCAAAACCAAAATGTGGCTTCGAATGTTACCGTGCCTGCACCCCTCCACAACAACTCTTCCGAGTCATTTTCCTCCAGGCGAAGCCCTAGCATACTGCTCGTATAACAGAATACTTATAGTTGGGACAACAGTTTTTGTCAACCGCCCACAGAACGGTTGACGGTTTGACAGCTCACACCACTGATGTGGCCAGTCGATTAAGTCAGTATCATTGCGCTTAAGCAGCGACAACTAACCAACTATACACCTGCCACACAGCAAACGAAGTTTACTGAAAATGACAGACGGCCAACACCACTGAGAATTCTCATTCTCTCTCACCAATGTGTCTTATGCTCTCGACAAAGCTTTTCCAGTTGCCACTGCGCTCAACACTTTCTCTTCCAAAAAATCGCTAATATAACTGGAAGTAAACATTACCTCAAATTTTGCATGTGTTGTAAAGAGGAAATATTCTTATTTTTTATTTAGTCTCTCTTATTGTTTCTCTTATCTTATTTGTTTTAAATTTTCCTTTCTTTTTGATAGGTACAAAAATACTATTTGTTTTTATTTTGGTAATATTTTGATATTTTTCTCGGTTTAGTGTAGACAATTTTATTTTACATAAATACAGAAATTTTTTTTACTAAAGTAGTCATTGGTAGGTCTATGTATGTCGGGGGATTAGGAGGGGATGTCGAGTACATATTGCTAAATTACCTTTTTATCTATTAATTTGAAAAAAAAAATTGGGAGCGCAGCTGTCTCATCGAACATCAGTACACAGGGGCGATTTGTCGCAGTGTTGGACTTTCCTCCAACCTCCTTGGTGCATATTTATATTGGTACAGCATCCAAGACCAAAATGTGGCTTCGGATGTTACCGTGCCTGCACCCCTCCACAACAACTCTTCCGAGCCATTTTCCTCCAGGCGAATAATTCCCTAGCATGTTACATAAGCAACATACCCGGGAATTTTGACAGCTCACATCAAGTGATGTTCGCCAGTCGATTAAGTCAGTAGCATTGCACTTAACAAGCACAAATAACTACTAACTGTTCACACTGTCACACAGCGAACAAGGTTCGCTGAAAATGACAGCCGATTAAGTCAGTATCATTGCGCTCTCATTGAGCGACAACTAACCAACTGTTCATCTGCCACACAGAAAACTATGTTTACTGAAATGACAGACGGCCAACACCACTGAGAATTTTCACTCCCTCTCACCAATGTGTCTTATGCTCTCGACAAAGCAGCTCGACTGCCACTGCGCTCGACACTTTCTATTCCAAAAAAAATCGCTAATATAATAGGTGGTAAGCGTTACTTCAAATTTTGCATGTGTTGTAAAGCGGAAATATTCTCACATTTTTTATTTAGTCTCTCTCATTGTTTCTCTTCTCTTATTGTTTTCCTTTTTTGTGTTAGATAGTACAATGTTTTTATTTTATCTGTCCTTCTCATTTTTTAGTCTTTCTTTAACTTTATCTACTTTTAATAAATCCAAAAAATTTTGTTTTGATTTAAATTTATGATTTTAAAATATTTTTATCTAATTTTAATAAAATGCACTCGTAAATAAAATATACTAGAGACCAATTAATTCTAAATTAAAATTCAAAATACTATATTTAATTACATTCTTTCATTCTTCTTTGTCCGGGACTATTGTGTTAAAAACAATTTGTGCGAAGAATACTGATAAATCTTAAAATAAAAAATTTTTTTTTAATTTTTTCCTACTTTTTCAGACAGTTTTAGATCTATCTATGAATATTGAGGAATTTAATTTTTGTAAATCAGCACCCCTCCTTCCAATTCCCCCACCCCTCCCCTCTATTATTCAGCCCCCCCCCCCTTCCCCCCTTTATTCAGCCCCCCCTTAAGCTTCCTTTTGGCTATTCTTCTCGTTTGGGAATTTTCTATTAACTTTTCGACATTTAAAAGAATTTTTGTGAGAGAAGGAATGTTTCTCCATTTTACTATAAATCCCTAATTTCTCAAGAAATATTCCTTTTTTCAAAAAAATTTTTTTTCTTTCTTACCATTAACTCTTTCAAAGCATTCCCCACAAAAAACAGACTTGCTTTTCCTTTTAGGATTAATAAAAATAAAATAAAGAATTAATCCAACTGCCAACATTGTTAATGCATAAATAATGATGAAAGGGTTCTAAAAATATTTTTAAAAATTTTCGAAATTTTTTCCAACTTTTCTAGCAGAAATTATCAACATAGAAATAAATATACACAAACAAATAAATGGAAGTATTATGGGTGTTTTTATTGAATTTTTTTGAAATTTAAATGTTCCTTTGTGTCGCATATATAATAGGGCTACCATTGTACAACTTTTTTGCATCCATAAGGAATAGGACCTGAAAATAAGGATAAGTTTTTTAGTTGTTCCCGAATTTAAAAAGACATAATTTCTAGCACTTTAATCCTTCTTACCTCCCCATCTCTCCTTTGATCTTTTAACTTGATTATGGATCGGACTTGAGGACCCATAGAAATTCGAATCAACATCTCGATAAATTTAGATTTTGATATAGCTGAGACTTAAACTCGATTAGACTTTTAAACTCAATACTTCTTAAATTTGCATAAATTTTCAATGAAAAGTTCTTCAAATTTAGGGGTATCTTAAATATTTCCCTGCTACTGGCAAATTCCTCCAGGGCTTTATTTTTAGCCTAAACATCAGCTGAATAATATTTTATACATAATAAATAGTATGTCTTTTGTAATACATATATCTTTAATATCTGCAAGTTATTACAGAATTTCTCTTACCTACTAACAATTTCCAACCATTATAAAATAATTTTTAATATTTTAAACTTAATCATTAACAGGATTTCCTACTTACATATATCCAATTAAATGTTCCAAATCACCAATAAAAGAGAGAGAAATTAGAACAAACATCTAAAAAAATTTAAATTTAATTTCTCTAAATTTATTTTTTAAATTACCAACTTCATATATTATAGCAACTCTAGGGCTCATAGACTTTTCATGTACAGAGCTTAGAACTGGAGGCATAATTCCATTTTTAGCTCCAGCAAATACATATCTATTTAATTAATTTTTATTTTGTAACAAAGTCGAAAATCATTTTTAGATACACCATGGGAACCGGAAGATTGTACCTTATAGAGATCAAGCTGGCTCTGGATCCAGACTTTTATTTTTCCTGGATCCAGAGTTCAGATCAAGGCATTTTTCAGCGTTCCTTGATCTTTTCTTGACCTTGATTTTTTCCTTGACTCAATGTTAAAGAAACCTTGAGTCAAGGAAAAAATCAAGGAGTGCTAAAAAAATGGTGAAGGTTTTTTTAAAGTTTTTTCTGCTCAAAGTCCTCATCTAAATCAAGATCAGGGTCAAGATTATCTGAAAATCTCGATCTCTAGTACTGGTCAAGGTTTTAAGGAAAGGTTCGACAATTATTTCGTTTTAACCTTGATGATGCAAAAATTGAACTATTTAAATTTCCAAGCAAAAGTATAGCAATTAAAAAGGGAAAAATACGAGAAAAATCCCCCATTGTTTTTTCTGCGAATTTCTGGAACAAAAAGATTTTTTTGAAATTTTAATTAAAAAAACAAACAAAAGCAACAGCTTCAGTATTTAAAAATTCATCAATACTCAAAACAGAAAAATAGGCAATATTAATTAAAAGATAGACAACTGCAGATATTCCAATTCCACATAAAGCTGCTAGGGGAAGCACTCTTCGAGGATTTTCTACTTCGTCGGTTGCAAAGTTGAGAATATCCCAACCTTTATTTTTTAAATATAATTTTAGTAAAATAATTAACTAGTAATTTTTTAATTTATTTTGAAACTTTGTGGAAAGCAGGGAGGATATTTGCGGACAGATTTTGCGGAAAAAATTTTTTCATCTAAATCTGGCTTATAAAATATAAATTTTTGAGCACTAAATTGAAATTATTGTCCGTAACCTATGGGCTATTACTTCTGAAAAGAGTTAGGGTAATATTTCAAAATCGATTTTAGAACCCAAATTTTCTGGCATATTAAAAAATATATGGTGAAAAACACAATCAAGAATTCTGAGAGAAACTCATTTCTCTATAAATTTTAGTGGAGTGGCTAACCTGTCCCGGAAAATAACAAAAGATTGTCTGGGACTTGATCCTAAGAACTCTCAGATATAGGGCGCTGTTAACCGCTCAACCTTTTATGTATTTCAGTTATCACCGGTCTCGCATTTCTGAACTTTAGATTAACTTAAAGCCAAAACTATAATATTAAGTTCCTTTTCAACAGCAAATAAAAACATTACTTGCCATTATAAGCCAAAAGGCTTGCATATAAAGCCAATACAAAATCTCCAGGTTCAGTTTTAGAACCTTCAAAAGCATTTACAAAAGTTTCTTCAGTTTTGTTTTTAAATATAAGTTGATATAAACCAATAAAAATAATTGTAGCTATAACCAGCAATTTAATTATTGTTAATACAACTTGGAATCGGCCAGCTATTTTTTTCTTAAAAAATTATAAGAATTAGTAGCTTAATTCATAAGGGATGTGACGGGCTGGGGGCCCGATCCGGCCTGTCCGAAAGACCGAGTCGAGCATTGAATTTGGCACGAAAATGACTCGGTCGGGCCGGCCCGATAAAAATGAGGAACTCGAACGTCGGCCCGACTTCAAAACCCCAACCCTAGTACAGTTGTTCTGATTACAGTTGATTATTTATTTATGGTTCAGAACTCAACGTAATTGAAAAACTAACCCTCTGTTCAGGACTCAAGTCAGGACCTAACAAATCTCTCCCTCTACTAGGGTGAAGAGAGAGATTTAAAAGGGATGGCTTATTATCCACCACAGTTGTGTTGTCTACCCCAAGAATTATCTCGAGACCCTTGGATTGCAAAATCTTTACTACATTATAAATATTTTGATCTCAGACTTTTAAAAAATAATTTTTTACCAAAGAAAATAAATTCATAAAACAAACAAGCCAAATAGTCATAAATCCAATTAAACGTTTTAATATTCCAATATACTCAAAATTTATTGAAATAAAAGAATTTAAACCGTCAACTAAATATTCTCCAAAGGTTAGTGTTTGTATTGCCATAATAACGGGGAATGTTAAGGTTGTGGATACCCACAAAAATGCTGTTGCTAAAGGATGCCTTTAAAAATTTTTTAAAGATTTTTAGGTTTAAATTTTAAGAATTGAACTGTATGTATGTTAAATTAAGGATAATACACTGGCAGTTTCCTCTACCTATTGGCCAACCAAATTTTAAAAATGACACCTAAATTAAGGTGTATATTAGAGGACCGGACTGGGAGTGTCGTACAAGAATCGAGATCTCGTCTTGGTCCTGTCTCTGGTATATAGTTAAGGATGACTTTATTATTATCTGGTTATCACATTAATCTCTTAAGTCGTATTGTGGATTATTTTATAACGATTTGTTAAGAAAATTTTGCCATTTTGAGTGTTATCAATAAATTTTTCCTACCATTTTGCATGTGAAAGATAGGCAAAATCACCACCCGACTTCCCTATACTCGTGCCTGAATTAAATTCTTTTTTCAATTTATTTTTAATCTAATTACCCAATTCAACATATACAAGTGCCCCACATGCCGCAATTAAGGCCCCTACAGCCCATACACAAAGGGAAAGCCCCACAGAACCTGTATGTCTTAGAATTGATGTTGGGGAGATAAAAATACCTTTAAAATTCAAAATAAATATTCTCAAATTTTATTTTGTCAGTCCCTATTTAGTTGTCATTCTTCATGACAGTCCCTCTGGACAATCCGAACTAATTTTAAATTTAAAAATTTTTTAAGTTAATGTCAAGACATGGAGACAAATTAGAACACCCTTTTATTTCTCTTAATGGAAAACTCAATCCAGACTTCAAATTTATCACTGTATTTGCTAATATCCATTTATTAAAAACATTTTTTTAATTTGGACAAATTTTGTTCGGGACAGCTACTAAAATTCAAATTTTTTTACAAATCTAACAACTCTTAAGATTGTATGTCAGGAAAAGGTATTTAGAATAACTTATAAAATTAAAAATTTAACTAAACCTGAGCCTATAATATCCCCAATACAGTAAGCAATTCCTTCAAAAACTCCAATTTTATTTTCACTGTTGGTTTGTCTCATATTTATAAATTATTTAATAAAATTAAAATTATGCGGGTGTAACTTTAATTGAAATAAAACTATTGATTTAAAATTAAAAATTAAGTCAATAAATTTGTTAAAAGCTTTAAAATAAAAATTTTTTAAATTTTTAAAATTATTTTAATAAATTATGTAAACAAAAAAAATAATTAACCAATTAATTTTATAAATTTAAGGTAGAAATAGGCGGCTTAAAAACTTTGATCACTAATCGATTTATTTTGTCAATCTATGCCAGTTTCTTGGCCTTGAGTCAAGGAAGGCTCAATGTCCAGGAAAAATCATAAGACTTTAGAAGCTTCCTTGATCTCGACTCTAATCCCGTAAAGATTCAGACCCAGGCGGATCACGGTTCCAGTAGAATCAAGGTCTGGTACAGAACCAGGCGGATCTCTATTTCAGAAAAAGAGATAACTTTAAGTTTAGCCTGCGTGTAAAACAGGGCTGGGCTAATTTCGATTTCGCGTTTCGCATCTTTCACGTTTTTCAGCGCGAAATGTTTCGCATTCCGTATTTCGCTTTTTATTTTTAAATTTTGCCCAGACATCGTGGAACAATCAAATTACAACACATAAACTAAATGCAAATATTTATTGACAAAAGGGGCTCCTATAAATGGCGATCTACATTGAAGTTATGTAAAACTATGATTTCATGCTTTTTAAATACAAAAAAAATTAAGAAAAAAATAATCACAAAATTTGAACAAAAAATAATATTTAATTTAAAATTACGTTTTTGTTCAGAGTATTAATAGTATGTTTTATCAATTAAATACGAAAATTGATAAACACACAAATTTTGTACCTAGTAACGATTTTTATGATTAAAATTAATAATTATTTTTTCCGTAAAAAAATTTAATTCCCAAAATTAAAAATTAATATAAAATTTAAAAATTTTTTTACTCAGAAACACAATAAATTTTCAAAAGAAAATTTATTATTGTGCTACATAAAAGTTTATAGTTTGTTTGTAGTTGTCAAGAGTAGGAGTGAGCTTAAAAGTCTATACAAACAAGCAAACGCGCAACATGCTCCAATAAACCAGGGAAACATATTTCTTGCTTTTTTATCCGCTGATTTGGCGTATTTTTGCGTTTTTTGCGGTTATTTTTTAAAAATAACGGAAGCACAATATGCTTTCTCTTGTTGAAGATTAGGTTTGTTGGATCTGTCTGTATCTGGATCTAGTCTGGATTTTTTCTGGATCCAGAGTCAAGATCCAGGCATTTTTGAATGTCCTGGATTTTCTCTGGATCTGGATTTTTCCTGGATCCATAATCCAGATCCAGATTTTTTGAAAATACCGTTCTTTATTAGGCACTGAACTGAATATTGCGGCCAGCCCCGTTCTGGATATCCAAAAAACTTTCTAACAACTAACTAACAACCTTATTCAAGATCTTTAAATACTTCTTTACATTTATTTATATATCCTTCAATTCCCCCTCAATTTAATATTCCTCCCCTTCAATTCCCCTTTTTTCTCCCCTTTTGTTTGCCTTTTACCTCAATTGAAAATTTTTGTAGTTTATTTTTTATTTATTTTTAGTTTTGTTTGTTTAAATAAATATATTTTTAGTTTTATTATAAAATAAATGCTAAAAAATATTTTTTAAATGACAGAAAATAACGAAAAATTGCATCATTTTAGCAGGCAAATAATAACAAGTATTTAGGAATTTTGTTTGGATTTGAAGGAAAATTCAAAAAAAAATAAAGGAAATAAGTGATCATGATCAGTGATCAAAGTTTTAACGATAATTCAGTTTACGATTTAGTTTACCTGACCTAATTAAGTTGGGGGCCCGTTTCGGTTCGGGTTTAAAGATGGCCCGAAAAAGACTCGGACGGCCCGGTTCGATAAAAATGAGGCCCGAATAAATGCGCGAACGTCGGCCCGGTTCGAAAAATCCCCACACCCCCCTTATCTGGGTGGTTCTGCGACTTTTGCACCGCTAACATTTACGCGCAACTTTTGCGTTTATATACCTATTTACCTTCTAAGCCACTAAAATTAACTAAAAGAACGGATGATTTTCTGTTCGGTTCTCCAAAGAAATTTTTTTAAATTATTTTATCTGATCATTTATAATTTTTTTCTAACTGCTATCGAAGTTGTGTCTTATAAAGAAAAATAATTTTATCAAAATAAACAAAAATATTAAAAAAAAATTTTTAAAGCTCGGTAATTCCCCTTCCACTATTCATCCTTTGTGTTTCCTTCATCTCTTCTTCCTCTTCCTTTTCTTCTTCTTCATCTTCCTCAACAACGGGGCTAATAGCTATTTTACCTCCCTTCTTTAATATTCTTTTGGACCTTCCCCCATTTGTTGGTTTTTGAATTTTTGGCATTGTTAAAATATTATTTTCTGTTAATTTATTTTCTTCTTTTATTCGAAGTTGTTTGACATTTTGTTCCGATTTTCTTCTAGGGAATGATTGAATATCTGAAATATTTAGTAATTTTAATAGCTGATCAATGAAAAATAAACTCTCGTCATACTAACTAGAGATCAGATGGTACTGTACTACTCAATATTTTCTGGTATTCAGTATCGGTAGTACGGTACGGAATACCCTCGGTATTTATCGGTATTTCAGTACGGAATACCGTTCAGCAGGAAATTCCGGTCTCTAATACTAATAGTTTAAAAGAATCTATCAGTTTTATCGGTTCTAAAAATCGTTGAACGATTCCGTAGTTCCGGAAAAGCTTTTAGGAGATAGTATGTTGAGGGCATTTTATGGTTTAGGACATTTGTTCAGACTTGTTGTTCCAGATATAAATTAACATGGATATAGGTCAAAACATTCGCTCTATACTTGACATACTATTTATAAGGTTCAATACTAAAGACTTGACTTGAGGGTCGTACGAGAATCTCATCTTAATCCGATCTGAGTCAATATCCGTATTTGAAGCGAGTTCTAAAAGTCGTACTCGTAGCTGTGTACAAAGTACGAGCATGAGAAAATAAAATAGACATGAGTTGATGTGGCTGGGCTCGAATAAGGACCCGAATGGATATCCGAAAATTTCATGAAAATACAACCAAAAATCTCTCTAGCTAATTATCTAAGTCAATTCATATTTTAATTTAATATTTCTATTCACCTTTCATTTTCTCTCCTTGCCTTTCAGTATTCTCTACAATATTTACAACTAAATCAACGGGGGCAGATTTCCTTCTACTACTAATATCTTTACATTTATTTTGTAATTCCTGTTGTTTAATAACTGTTGGGACTGTAAAAGAGCAGTTTGTTGAAGTAGAAAGATCAATCTGACATCTTGGGTTTTCTATACAAACATTTGTTGGGGAAGACCAACAATAAGGATTTTCTTCCTTAAAATTTTGAATTTCGAAATTTTTGAAAGGAAAAACAAACAAAATTTCTTTCACAAAATATTAAAGGTGTGGGGTTTTTGGTTGTTGTAGTGGATGATTTGAGGAAAGCAGTTGAAGTTGATGGAATGTTGGAACAAATAAATTCGGCTAGAAAATTGAGGAAATTTGAAGGAAAATTTATTTTAGGAATTTTTAAATCAAAATTTTCTTGAGAAGATATGAAAAGAAATTAATTTTGCAGCATCCTTGTGGGTGGTAAATGGTTAATAAATTCGAGTATTTTATCAATTATTAGGGATATCGTTCAGGAAATTCTCTTCCCCTCCACATTCCCGCTGTCTAAAAAATTTTCGAAAACCGGAAAAAAGTCAGAAACCTCGAAAAATAACAATTTCGAAATGCCCCCCCCCTCTCTCCCTTTCTCTCACCTCCGTTCACCTAATTTGAGAAAGTATGTATGTCTTTAGTGATCGGATAAAGATAGATAGGTAAATCCCGATAAAATCACCTTGGGAAAAATTTAGTTTTCCCAAGATTTCGGGACCGGATTCTCGATTGACTACTTTTTCCAATAAATTTTTTTAAATACCCAGAAAAGTACGAATTTTATAAATTAATTTTCGGAACCAGAAATCTTTTCGAAATTTATGAGAAATTTTTAGAAAATTTAATAAAATTTTTTACAAGTATCAACAGGTGTTTGAGCAGTAGAAGATGAAAGAGATATGTTTTCTAATAAGCTAGTTCCCATTCTACATTTTGGACACGAATAAGGGCCATCTCCATTAGTCAAAAGATATTTTTGTAGACACCTAAAAAAATTTTTGAAATTTTTTTCCTTAAAAAATTTCACTTTTCATGGAATATATGGGAACAATTAAGTGCTTGTAATGATTCTTCAATCTCTCCGTAACGCTGACCACAAAAATTACAAAAAAGCTCCATTTGTTGGATCAAATGTCTTTGCTGTCTATTGGATTCTGTTGAATTTTCTTCGTCAGATAATTGACTTAAAAAATTTTTTTTAATTTTTAGAAATAGAAAAAGGATCGAACCTGCCTATAAGATAAACCCTTAGGGCTGGAAATTTTATAGTATAAGAAGGTGTATCTTAAATTCTGGGTATTTTAGGTCAGTTACAGGATTGATGGATCCTAGAGAATCTCTGCATATCCAAATTCGATATTCGACACGATATTCAAATTTAAAAAATAAAGGTTTATCTTATAGAGAGGTTCGATCTAATTTAAAAATTAAATATAAATATTAATTTTTAACCTATAGAGATCGTAAAGGCGAGAATGGCATTCCATCATTGCATGCTTAAGAAAAAAATTAATTTTTGAATTTTATCTCTAGTAAGACATTTAACTTTCTAATACTAAAAATGAAATGATATACGAATGATATAAACGGAATGTTTATAAGTTGATAAAACACTGGCTAACACTTACTTAAAGGAAATCTTAAAAGGAAATTAATAATATTTAAATCCCCCTCACTTTAGATCCAATTAAAGTTGCCAATTCCAGACATTTTCTATTTAATTGTATAGCTTGACATTCACATCTGCCAGCATAATGAACACCTTTATTTTCACTTGCAGAACGTGCCATGCTTGCTAATACAATTATTTGGCCAGAACGGTCATTTATTTTTCTTAGAAGGCGGAATGCCTGTTCATACCTTGCCCAACTTTTCTTTAAAAATTTTTTTGAAAAATTTTTGAAAGTATTTTAAGGCTTATAGATTTGTACCTCTATACTTCACACGCTCTTTAAGACCATCAACATTTATTATTACAAAGGTTCTAGTCACCAAACTGAAGGAAAATCCGCCCTAAGGGACTCCCAACCGCTCTACTAAACGTCCACTATATGGAGGGGTATCTACTAGAGAGCGTTTGTTAAATAGAGGTCTCGCTTCATTTTAATTTAAACACTTACAGTAACAGTCTCTCTGGCTTCAGTTTCACCAATTTCGCAAAATATATCTGCTAAACTAGCTAGAGCACGTGCAAAAGTAGGCTTATTTCCGACTTGTTTGGCAAGGTGAATAGATTCCTCACAGACTTGTCGAGCTTCTAAATTAAACTTTAATTTTCTTAAGTTAATTTTTAGCTGTTATTTTTTAAACTTTACTTGAGGGGACTAACAATTCCCATAAATTTCTAATAATTTACAAAGACCCACAGTTTTCTGTGGGTGGCAAACAAGGCTTCAAGTCCCTCAATATCATCACTCTTTATTTATTGAATACCTGAAAGACGTCCCTTCAGCCTTAGAATAACAGACAATTGATAAAGTATGGCAGATCTATATTTTGCATGGACATGATTAGCTTCTATCCCATGCATTATTCCCAACGCATTTTGAAGGAAAATTAAAGCTTTGTTCAAATCCCTTTAAAAATATTTTTCAAAATTTTCCAAAAAAAATTCTTTTCAACCTTAACAAAGTAAATAACGCCCCCAATCCCAGGCTTATTTGCAATTCCAACAATTTGTCACCCGTCTCTATTGCTATTTTCATTGACAATTCAAAATGTTCTAGGCTTTGTTGTAGACCGGAAATGCCCATTCTAGCCATTGCAATAACTTGAGAAAAAAAATTTTTTTATCTTTATTTAATCCCTATACTATAAGATAATTTATCAGAATTTCTCAGTGTGGTTGATTTCAACTTTTGGAATTTTTTATCTTAAGACTTTTTTATATATGTATTTATTCATTATATCTATCGAACCTTCCTACTGTTCTAAAACTTTATTTTCTACAAAAAATACACATGGCGATCAAAATAAGGCGTTCAACTGTCCTATACACAAGAACAAACTTTTCGACTACTGTATATTTAATTTGCTCTTCATGTATTTATTTTTTGTTTATTTAGAATTGGCATTCTTAACATTTAGGTATTTTTCAGTGAGCAGGTAAATAAAAATTTTTAACTTCATTAATCTACCTAAATGTGCATATCCCGGACTTCTTCTATCAATTCCAGGAAGTGCCAAACTCTGTTCTGCAAAGTCTATAGCCTTCTCATATTCTGCCAGTCTTTCATTTGCCCTAGCCAAATTAAGCAAAGCTTCGGAACGCATTAAATCGTCATTTTGATTGTTTGCTAATTCTACTTGTTCTTTTGCCTTTTTTAAAATTATTTAAAAAAATTTTATTTTTAATTTTAACTGCTTGTAACATTTGGTCATAATCTCCAGAATCACAGTATGCTTGGACTATATATCCGCTAGTCAAAAATTTGTCTTCTGCTGTTCTGAAAGAAAATTTTTTTTAATTTTTTACTACAATCATAGAAAATATTTTAAGATTTTAATTTATAAAGTTGGTCCCTGGACACACTCCACCACCTCGATTTCCTAACAATGCATTCACAGACAGTTAATTCTCCTCCCCGATATCTATAAAAAAATTTTCCTCGTGGATCTGGGATCAATCCTATGCTAAAAATATTTAATAAAAGTTGAGTTTGTGTTCCCCCTTTTTTAGTTTCCCAAGAATTCCCCTCAATTCTCCCTTCATATTTTCAATCTTAAAAGGATTATATTTGCCATATAAAAATCTGGGATGGATTTATTTTCAAGCCTACCCAGGGCTGCACGCAATTGAAAGAAAATTTTCTGCAATCCGCAACTCGCAATTTTAATTTTAAAATCCTCAAACGCAGTCCGCAATGCAAAAAAAGCAATTTCACGCAATCCGCAATTGCGCGCAGCCCTGATCCTGACCATTAGTATTTCCAATTTTATTTACCTAGCTTTGTAACGGATTCTATGTAATTCGAATTTTAAATAATTCCGATTTAGGTATTTACTTAAATTTGTAACGGATTGTATTTAATTATAATATTTCTTAAATTTTACTTTAATTTTCTTCTAGCCGCCCTCCAATGCCTAATTGCTTGTTGAGGGTTTTGTTGTTGATATAATTTAATTCCCATTCTCATTTGGCTTCTAGCTCGCCTAGCACGAATATTCAGCGCATTACCCATCCGTTTTAAAATTAATTGGTGTCGATGGTTTTTGCGGCGAGGACGTTTGTGAAGACGTTCTGCTGCAGTTGCTGTTGTTGGTAATTTTCGAACCCTGGCCAATTTTGCCATTCCCGCCGGGGCTTTAAAAAATTTTTTTAATAGAAAGTTTGAAAAAACTATTTAGAATCATAATTTCAGGTTTTTTATTGACTAATTCATTAATTTTCAACCTCTTTTTGGAGCGGGTAATTAATCTGAGGAGGGTAATTAATGATGTTTTCAAAAAGAATGTGAGGGATGTGAGGGAGTGTAGGAAGCAGAGGTGGGTCGTAACAGTCAGAGGTGTCGGAAATCGGAATTCCGACCCAACTCTGGTAGGAAGGAATGTGAGGGAGAATGTGGGGGAGGAATGTGAGGAAGGGTAGTTATTGCTTTCGCTAATGTGGGCAATTAATCGAGGAAATACGGAAATGGGTAATTATAAATATAATTAATTTCTTTATTTTACTAAATTACATATATTAAAAAATTTTCATTAAAGTATTGGAAAACTGAGAGTTTGGAATATTTTTAAAATTGTAAGAAACATGTTAAGGTTGAATTATTTTTTTAATTTTCTCAAGATTTAAACAAAAATACATATATTACCTTTTCAATTGAATGTGCCAAGTATTTTTTTGCCGAAAATATATGGCACACAAAAACAGCAAAATTAACAAGGATGTTTTAGTATGAGCCAAAGTTGAAACGAAAATGATGAGAAAATTGAAGAAAAAAATTTTTTAGTAAAAGGATATGTAAAAAGGGAGAAAAGAACGGAGGGAGAGAAGGATTTTTGTTTGAAAGGGAAGGGGATGAGGGAGGAGGATAGAATTTGACACCGCCTGTCCCCCTAAAATTGTGAAAGAAGAAACAGCAGTCAATGAGCTTGGCAATCTAGTTGTTGTCCTACCTCAACCCTTCCTCTTCTTTTATTTTCTTCTTCCTTTTCCCATTAACAATTTCTTCAGGATAAGGGTCATTTCGGCGCTAAGTCGTTAGGACGTCTTCAAGCATATTTCTGTCTAGAAAAATCTTAAAGACTTCAAATTTTGTTCAAGATTGTTTCTTATAATGCCAATTACCTCTTTCATAAGTTTCCGGATTTTAGGTTCAAAGGACCTGAAGTTATGGTCGAAAATTCTAACAAAATTCAACATTTTTAATAATTTTAAGGTTACTTGTCTATAATCCCTTAATTATAAAATTAAAAATTCTGAGAAGTTTACAATAGTTCCCTCATTTTTCCACCTTACAGCCCTCAAGTTCATCTGTAAAAAATTCAACAGATCCAGTTCTCATCAAGTTCTCATCAAGCAATTAGGTATTCAAGATTACGCCCTCTTGTCACTGCGCCATCATGTCCCTGCGCCCTTCTGTCCCCCTCACTTCCTTCTCCACCCTCACAAAGCTTTAATGCTTTTCCCTCATTTTGCCACTTTACAGCTTTGTGTAAGTCTCTATATTGATTTTGCCGGATGGGGGAAATAAGCTCTAATGGTCTTCCTTTTCTCTTTTAACTTTTCTTTTTCAAACTTTATTATCCTAAAGGATAAAAACATTTTTGCAAGATGACACAAAATAAAGTAGTAAAATCAGGAGAAGAATGAAAAGGAAATTGGACAAATGTAGTAGATATTAAAAGGGAAAGGGTTAAATAAAAATTTGGAAATAAAGTGAGGAGAGAAATTTATCAAATTTTATAAGGAAAAATATTAAAAGTATTTACATAGGGTCCATTTATTAACGAGGGATTTTAGGATAGTGGGATTTGATTTAATGGATTTGCTGATTAATTCCCGATAACACTTAAATCCCTCGTTATCCCTTCAAATCCCCTCAATCCCTTTAAATCCCATTATATCACCTTAATCACTGATTGACGATTCTGAATCTTAACCCTCTTATCCCCTTTATTAACTACTATTCTACTGATATCCCACCTCAATCCTCCTATATATATTCAAATCCCCTTACTCCCTCCAAATCCACTTATATCCCTCCAAATCCCCTTACTCCCTCCAAATCCACTTAAATCCCTCCCAGATATCTCTTCAGCCCCTCCTTTACCCTCCAAATCCGTCAATATACCTTTTAATTCTCCTCGTTCCAAATCCAATAATTATTTTTAAAAAATCTTAAAAAAGACTCGAAAATGTCTCGGTGCCGACTCAATAAATTTAGGCCTGAAAGTGACTCGTACAGGCCCCGAAAAAATGCCTTGACCGTCGGCCCGACACAAAAATGACAATCATAATCACCGCTACCGTTATTTTAGGAAATTGTTAAGAGAAAAATTGGTGTAAAAATAAATAAAAATTATTAAAAAAAATTTTTTTTTTAATAATTTTATAATGATTATTTTGAAAATTAAAATAAAGACGATAAATTGGAGATTTAATTATTTTGCGGTATTTCCTTCAAATCTTAAATAATTAATTAATTAATATTTAAATTTAACTTCTATTAAATTTTAAAATTAATTTAAAATTAAATTTAAATTTTATAATCTATTTGAAAAATCGATTATAAAATTTACTCGTGAGGCAATAATTAGACAGAGAAAGTCATAGTGAATACAAAAATTTATTTTATAGACAATGGAAAGGGATCCTTTACTATTGACAGTCTTTTTTGAGAGGGAGGTAAGAGGGAGGTAAGGGGGGGGGGGGTCTTTATCCTAGAGAGGATCTTTCATGAGAGGGTCTTTACCCTAGCCATCTCCTCTCAATGTAAAGATTAAAGACAATGGATGCCCTTTAACATTTAAAATAAGGCGTGCGTCTTCGATGGGCATGTCTTATTCCTGTCTGCTTTACTTAATATAAAAGCCGATAGAAAATAAGGAGGAATCATTCAAAAGTTTTTTTTTCAATTAAAAGTTTCCAAAAGAAAAATTTTCTTAATTTCTCAACAAAAAATGGCCAAATTCTTTTTTGTTTTTCTTTTATTTGTTTTTATTTTTATTAATTCTTCTTATTGTGGAAAGAAAGAAAATGAAAAAAAAGAAGAAAATCCCTATAAAGGCCCTTGGAAAATACATAACACTGAAGAAATACAAAATCTTAGAGCTGAAAAGGAAAAACAGGCTAGAAAATGGGCTGAAAGTTTGTTTAATAAAAATAAATGATAAACTTATCTTGGCTTAGGCCATGGTTGAAGGTTTTAAATAGATAAAGAGTTAAAATATTTTTAGCACTCAAACATATTTTTGTTTCAAAAATTTAATAGTCAGATTAGGGGTAAGCAAGGTCTCGGAACCAGTGATGTCAAAGTTCCAAAATTTCTCTGGAACTAGTTCCAGTTCCGGAACTCCAATTTTAAAACTCCTTAGTTCCAGTTCCAGTTCTGGAACTAGTTCCAAGCTAGTTCTAGTTCCAAATTTTTAAATTTTTTGAACATGAAAAGATTGATCATTTTTAACAAATAAAGGAATAGGTAATTTAGAAAATCATTTAGTTTTCGGCAAAATCGCATTCACGGGATCCCGTAACGGGATTTTTTTCAAAATTTTTTCTAAAATTTAGCGGGATTTCGGGATTTTCACATAATAGATATCGGGGAGATATGAGGATTTGAAGGGATTTAAAAGGATATCTGGGGATATTTGTGTTGATATATAGGTTATAAGAGGATTTTAATTGATATCGGAAAATTTAAGGAGATTAGAGGATAAACTGGAGGATTAAGAGGCCGAAAAAATCCACTTTTTCAGCGCCGCAGGCGAAAATTTTTAGAATTTTGGAGTTCAAGCAGTCAGTTTTCTTCCATACTCCGCGCGCTGCAGGTAATTCTCGAGTAAATTTTGTCAAAAATATACCCCCAAGAACTAGTTCCAGAACTAGTTCCAAAGCTAGTTCCAGACATTTACTAGTTCCGTAGTTCCAGTTCCAAGCTAGTTCCAGTCATTTACTAGTTCCGTAGTTCTAGTTCCAAACTAGTTCCAAATAATCGTTAGTTCCATAGTTCTAGTTCCGGAACTGGAACTAGAACTAATTAGTTCCGGAACTGGAACTGGAACTTTGACATCACTGCTCGGAACCTCGGTGTTGGTCCCCGCCAAGAACCTAAATATCCGCCAAGAACCTAAATACACCGCCAAGAACCTAAATACAAAATTGTTTTTTTGTTACTAAATGTTTTTCATTTTATACTAAGTATATAATATTTTATTTAAATTCTTATTTAAGGAATTTCAAAATATAACGTAAAAGGAAAAACACGACACGACTACGATTTCAGTCAAAACACATCATCGACGTAGAAAGTGATTTTGATGAAGAAAAAAGAGATGGAAATATTTTATTTTCAAATTTAAAAGAAAAAATATTTTTTCAATGCCTTTCTCTTTGTAAAGAATTTTTCTAAACGTTTCAAGTAAAACACTGATTAACTTTGATTAAAAAAAATTTTTTTTAATTTTATTTTAAATTAGTTATCTCAAAATATTTGGGTTTTTGTCTAGTTTGTCAGAAAAGTTAGCTTTACTTCCATAAGTTGTGGTATTTTTATGTCCAGTCTTGTAACCCTTAAAAAATTTTTTTAAAGAATTTTTTTGTTTCCCACATCTAATTGATTCATCCACGCCTCCCATTCTAATTCTCCAACCTCTACCTTTATAAGTCCAATAAAACTATAATTCCAATTAAAATTTATGAGCCCAAAGTTTATGTTTTAAAAATTTTTATAACTTCACAAAATCTAATTAAATTTACTAAATTTTGTTAAATATACACAAATCGTTATCAAATTTATATTTTTTAAATATTTAGAAGTTTCCAATGATGAGGAAATCTGTTTCAACAACGGGAAATGATCAACCAGGCAAATAGCCAGATTACCATTCCTTCCAAAACGATTGCAGGCTTTTTCAGTATTAAATACATTCTCTTATCTCACAAAAGTTTGAAAAATTTTTTAGGAAATTAGTATGTTTGTTTGAAACTACCTAAAGATTAAAATTTCGAGGCTCACTCCCTATTAAGAGTCGGACAAAAAAAGACACCCACACGCACAATATGAGCTTTTCGCTTTTTATTTTTTTTAAAAGTTTCGCATTTATTTTTAGCTTTCGCCCAGCCCTGATTTATAGCACATTTTGTCGCGAAGCGACTAAAGATGAGGAAAATAAAATAAATATATTTTTATAATTTTAATTCTGAATTAATCATCACTTTTTGCAAATTCCTTTTTCGGACTTTCACCTGGCTAAAAATCATTTTTTGCTGTAAACATCTATTCAAACTCTATTTACATTTTTAGTCCTTTTGTTCTAAAACTTAACTTTATTTTCCACTCTTTTGTATTATTCAAAACATGTGCATTTTATTTAATCGCTCCTATTATGCCTTTAATGATCGAAATATTTTTCTGTCTACCCGCCTCTTTTCCTGGCCTATATAATCTCCCCCTTCAAACCCCCATTAGCTTTCTCATTAGCTCATTCTCTGTTGGCTTTATTCTGTTCTGGTTCTGTGTTCCTATTTGTGGCCTTATCATTAATCTATTTGTTGGATTTTAATTGTGTGAAATAAACTTATTACTACTTGTTTGGTTTTAATTTGTTGGTACTAAACCCTTGGCCAATTGTGTTGGAATCTCTTGGCCTAACCTAGCTTTTTCGAAACCTTTGTGTATTGGCTCTATTTGTTTGCTACATATTTTTTGGTGCAACGGCCGGGAACTTGTGGTCTAGCATTCGTGCAGCATCACAACCCCGAGCAGCCTGTGTTCAATTCAAGAAGAGCCAATTGCCGAAACTATTGATCTATTGTTGGGACGAACTTTATCCACTGTTGCAACCCTGATTTGTGACGACGATGTCAGGAAAAATCCGAAGTGATTTGTTGGCCGCTCTGAGCGAGATGCAATTCCATTCTATAGAGGCTATGCGTATAATGAAGATGGAACGAGATGCTAACACTTACCGTTTGCTAGATGTGGTAAAATCGCATTTGGTGGAAACTGTTTCTAAAATAGAGAAGCTCGACCTCCAATGGAACAAACATATGTCTAAATTGCGAGGACTAAGGAAATCAACTGAAGAAGATTTATATAGGGATTTTCCATCTAACGAACCTTCTTATCAGCTCATGTCAGACTTCCTACTCTCTCAACAGCACTTTGTTACACAATGCGAATTTGCCCGACAAATGGTCGTTTCAATTGGAATAATTATGGAGGATCTTGGCCCACCTTCTAGAGACAGTTCTCGCCCATCTGAAATGAACAAATTATCAGATAACTGTGCAGTTGATCTTGGAAACCAAAAAGGGGAAACGCTTGAGCCACCTACGCCACAACCGCCTACGCCACAACCGCCTACGCCACAGCCGCCTATGGATCGAGTGGTGGAACAGAACCGTTGCCTGGAGTGCTCATTATGTAGAGGGAATCACCTTCCGAGCCATTGTACTAAATATAGCAACCCAAAAGCAAGGAAATACAAATTACTCGAACAGCATCGTTGTCTGAACTGCCTGAGGGATGGCCATCTAACCTTTGATTGCCAAAATAATCGACGTTGCAGTAGGTGTCGCGGAAAGCACCACTTCATGGTTTGCTATTCACGTATGCCAAAAACTCAAATGTTGGAACCTATGCGAAAAAGCTATGTTCATTGTTCGAAGCCGGCTGGGATGTTTGAAGCAAAAAAGATGCTGGATGAAAAGACGAAAGCTCTCCAAGAGAAGGATAAAAAGATAGTGAAACTGATGTCCGAGCTTATGTTGGCACGCAAAAAGGCCGAGGATGAATCCAAAAAAGCTAAACGATTAAAACGTCTGCTGGATGAATCTAATCAGAGGATTGTGGATGATCATGGAAAAAGAATTCTGAAAGAGACTCGTGTCAATGCCCTTCAGAAGGCTAATCGAAAATTGATTGCCAGAAATGGTAAGCTAAAACGGGAAGTGCACGCCTACCACAAAAAATGCCAACGGGAAAAACTGGAACCACCAGAATTCTATGCCTTTTGCTGCTCGTGGATGGATGTAAAAATGTTCATAAGTGTCGTTTCCGCTTTTGCTATGATTCTGAATAGCGCTAGAGATGCTTTGAGGATGTTTATTCGCGCACCCAATAAACTCTGGAAATGTAAAACGAATGAAAAGATGGAAAAGGAATTGACTCTGGAAACTCCCTCTTGGCTTTCTTTAACGCTTTTCGCCACCGTTGTTGCGATCAACCCCAGTTGGACCTTTTTCGCCATCTTTGTTAAGGTTATGGATGGCTGGGCACATGCATTGAAAGAGAGCAGAAAAGTTGTAATGGTTGAAGTACCGAAGATGAAGAAAAGAAAGAAAATACATGAAAGATGGGAAAAAGAAATTGAGGATGAAACTTTAGACGCGGGCGGGAATGTCGCGAAGCGACTAAAGATGAGGAAAATAAAATAAATATATTTTTATAATTTTAATTCTGAATTAATCATCACTTTTTGCAAATTCCTTTTTCGGACTTTCACCTGGCTAAAAATCATTTTTTGCTGTAAACATCTATTCAAACTCTATTTACATTTTTAGTCCTTTTGTTCTAAAACTTAACTTTATTTTCCACTCTTTTGTATTATTCAAAACATGTGCATTTTATTTAATCGCTCCTATTATGCCTTTAATGATCGAAAATATTTTCTGTTTACCCGCCTATTTTTCTGGCCTATATAATCTCCCCTTCCAAACCCCTATTAGCTTCGCTTGCTTCTGTTCTAGCTTTTCATTCTGGGGTTTGGTGAGCTTCTCTTAAACTGTTCTTTGCTGTATTGACGCTGTGCTTTTTTTGGAAATAAACTTATTTAATTGATTGAAGTGTTTTTTGGTTGGAATAAAACTTAGGCTAGAATTTGCTTGGTAGAAAACCTAGACTGAGATTCGAGCCCTCCCTCCACACATTTATTCCTTGATAAACAAAAAACGTTAAATTTTATTTACAAAACGTTAGGGTGCATTAATAAAAGTTTTAATAAATAAAATTAATTTTTTCGATAGGGTGCAAAATTAGGCATACAACATTAAAAAAGTTTTGTATTTTTCGCTCTCCTAAATACTGGAGGTAAGTGAGAGTGACCGATTTGTGACCATCCATAAGAGAATATGAGAGTTTGATAGAATATTTTATAGTGTAGGGAATCAATTAGAGAAATATGCATATAATGATGCAAATTTATTTTAAATGAATCCCATTTAGTTTTTCCTAATTATTTTTGCATACATAACATACAAAATTAGGAATGATCAGCCTCAAAATAAAAATGTCAATTTTTAAATATTTGCCATTAATGTTAACCTCAATTTTTTACTACGAGCTTGAACATCGAAGGCTCAAGGTGTGGCTATTACGTGTTAAATCGCGTAATAGGGCTCGCCGACTCGCTAAATTTTTGAAAGCCGCTCCGCCTTAGGGCGTTGTAGCGGTCCCCCGATGATGACTAACTGAGGGGGTATAAACAGAATTTTAGAAATTATTATAGAATTAGTCTATGCCTAAAATTTTGGTGAAATATATTTAATTTGGTGAGAGAATTTAGAGATGACCAGCTAAAATAGAATGACCACTAACAAGTAGTAACTAGGTCATCGCTGGGAGGGTTTTAATAGTAACGCCTACTTCTACAAATGCTTTTAAAAATCAATTCTTCAATGGAAAAAGCTAGCCAATGTCTATGGATAGAGAGGGAAAGGAGTTGAAGCATCAAAAAATGTTTTTTGCAGAAAGCCTTTTGCGGAAGTGGGAACAACAAGCTGGACATTTATACTTGAGTCTTACTTTAAGTGGGGCTTATTGTAAGGATGATTCACCCAGCAGCATTTAAAACGCTTAGGCGGGGGTTAAACGATCTAAAAAGGAAAAAGAGAAAGCATTAGTCGATGCCCCGGTAGCTCAGAGGTAGCAACAACTAGCAGGTGGTCGCAGGTTCGAATCCTGCCCGGTGGCTAAACTTTTGCAAACTCTTTCTTATTTTAGAAGAGTTACGATAAACAACCAAAATTATTTTTAAAAAAATAAAAATCAACATTTATTTCCATCAGAATTTAAAGAATAACAAGAAGTTAAACAATCTTGAATTGAAGGGTAAAAACATCCCTCAGAAATTTTATCAAAAAGAGCACAACGATGGAAAACATTTAAAATTGAATCTGAAAATAATTTTAAATTAAAAATAATATATTATTTTAAATTAAATTATAGATTCAAACTGATTGTTAAACTTTAAAAAATATTCTGCTTAAATTTGAAAAACTTTTGAGCATTCCAAAATTAGTTTTGACCAAAAAATCCCTGAATTTAGTCATGTCCCAGTTATTAACGCCTTAACAATTGCCCCTTCACAATACATAGTCATACTCTCACCTAAATAATCTCGAATAACTACTCCCTACAACAAAAAGTTAGTTGAAATTGGTAGGTATGGGTTTAGCCAGTGATGTCAAAGTTCCAAGATTTCTCTGGAACTAGTTCCAGTTCCAGAACTAGTTTTTTAATTTTTGTAGTTGTTCCAGATAATCGTTAGTTCCGTAGTTCTAGTTCTGGAACTGGAACTAGAACTAATTAGTTCCGGAACATTTCTATTCAATTGTATAGCTTGACATTCACATATACCTTATGAACACCTTTATTTTCACTGGCAGAACGTGCCATGCTTGCTAATACAATTATTTGGCCAGAGCGGTCATTTATTTTTCTTAAAAGGCGGAATGCTTGTTGGTTTTAAATTATTAAAAACAATTAGAAATTTCAAGATTTTAACAAATACTAATTGATTTCTTAAGGCATTTAAATTATAGAAAAAATTTTAAATTAAATTAAATTAAAACGATAAAATTGATTAAATTTTTTCAAGTAAATTCATTGAAATAATCACATAAAAAGTACCCAAAAAATTCTCCCGTTATCAGAAAATAATAATAAAAAAAATATGAACACATTATTATGGTTTTATTTTTAAATAAATATTGAGAAGAATTAATGTCAAACCCTCAAACATTCGATACAATAGTTATTGGCGCTGGAATTATAGGCAGTGGATGTGCTTATAAAATTGCAAAAAGTGGACAGAAAACGTTGCTTTTGGAACAAGTTTTTTGGATTTTAAGAAAATATTTTTTAATTTTCCAAAGTTTTCTCTTGGCCACGCCCACGGTTCCTCTCATGGAGCTTCCCGAATAATTCGCTGTACTCATGGAGAACCCCATATCCTTCCATTTGCTTTGGATGCTTTTAAGGAATGGGAGGAAATGGAAAAAATTGATAAAAATGCTGGGAAGGCTTTAATTATGTGAGGAAAATTAATTAAAAATAAAATGAAAATAAGAAAATCTGACCTAAAGACAATTCACCGAATTTTTTAAATTAATTTTATTTTTACGAAATAAACTAACATTCTTGATTATTCACATAAATGCTTCTTTTTTGCATCTAAGCAATAGTAGGATAATTAAAATCAAAAAAATATCTCATAGATATGCTTTTGTGGACGAAAAAAAAGATTAATTCGGTGAATTGTCTGTAGAAAATATTTTCGGTGAAATGCCCCAAAATTTCCTTAAATTTCTTTCAAAATTAAAAGAAAATCCTTTTAATCAGAAAAAACGGAGTGTTAACAATAGATTATGATTGGAAAAGAACTTTAGAAAAATCAGATATTCTTCGGTCTTTTAATGTCCCTCACGAAATACTTTATGGAGGTTCTATTATACAGCGACGTTTCCCACAATTTGTAAATTTTGATAAAAATTATTCGGCAATTTATGAACCTGGAGGGGGTGCTTTATTGGCTAATAATTGTTTAGAAGCTGTGCAGGTGAATTTAATGTTTATTAAACAAATTGGGTTACTTAATGACTTTGTTTTTGAAATAAGTTTCGGTGAAATGCCTCTAGCTTGATATATAGGGGTTTCCAGAAATTTTGCTTCTTTAGGGCATATAAGTGATGTTCTGGTTCTAGGAACCGATTGCAAGAACTTTAAAATTATTTTGGAACCATCAGAAACCGAAGGAGCAGTTAAATGTATTTTTATAACTCCTCCATTATTTTGCCCACCCCCCTCTCTAAAGCTAATTCCAGTTGAAATTATTATCAAACTCTTACTTAATTTAGTATAACCTGTTTTTCAGTAATTTTAATTTAGAGACAATTCCAAGCCTTAGGATCATTAGCTACTCTAAAGGATAACGAAAAAGTTTTGTCTATTGTTCCGATTCCACAAAAAGAAAATGGATTTTCGTTGCTAGAAGTTACGACGAATAACGGTCAGTAAATTGATTATCTCTTACACAAGACAAGTAACTGTATGAGCAAAAAAGTCGCAATTCCACAGAACGAACCTCGATATAGTGGCCTCTCTAAACGACCCTCTTAAAATAACGTTTTAAATCATTAAACACACAGGGGTGGGCATCGGGTTGCCCACCCCGCACAGGGGTGGGCATCGGGTTTTGGGGGACGTGGTGCTACCATAATATAAAAATAAAATCCCCCACGTTACAATAATTTAAAAAATTATTCTAATTTAAAAAGGTGCTTGTTATTATGCAAATAACGTAGTTGTAGCAACAGGTGGATGGCTTCCCAATTTATTACCAAATATTCCAATATTACCCCATCGTGTTGGTGTTTGTTTTTGGAAGGTTTTAAGCAGGCCAGAATTATTTAAGCCAGAAAATGGGACTGCCCCAAGTTTTGTTATTATAGAAGAAAATGGGGAAATATTTTATTCTTTACCTTGTATTGACTATCCTAATGCTATTAAAGTAAATTTTGAATTTTTTAAAATTTTTAGCAAGGTTTTTTTCTTTAATTTTCCTGGGGTTCAGATGGTTCATTAATAAATTTTTCGAGAATTCCTTCTTAGAAAGATACTCTCATCACGTTGCCTAAATGTCTGATACGGTCCAAAGGACCCATGGATCCAGTCTCATATTTGGCCCTTAAAGGACTCGTGGTCCGAACACGGTATCAGTTCAAACATACTTTTCAGCCTTAAGCTTTTATTAATTTTTTTTGGTTTTCGTCCTGTGAATTTTGAACGAAGTTGTGGTTACTGGGCTTGTGGCTTAAAAATCTCTATTGAAATTTTTAAATTTATTCTTAGTTTTGAACCTCAAAAAGCAAAGAAACTATTTTTAATTTTATTTAATTAAAGTTAGCTCTTCATGGGTGGGATTTACCCATTACCAGGATGGATGAACACGTCTTTGGAGATAAAACAAAAATTTCCGATTGGACAGGGATTAGTTCATATATTTCCAAACACTTTCCAGATTTGGATTCTTCTTCTCCAATGATTAAATGTGCTTGTGTTTATAATGTAATTGTTCAAAAAAAATTTTTTTAAACAAATTTTCGATTTAAGCTAACCGAAGACGAAAATTTTATTGTCGACAGACACCCACAAATTCCAAATTTATTTATTGCTGGAGGCTTTTCCGGCACTGGATTTAAACATGCTTTAACTATTGGAAAGATTATTAGTAATTGGATTAATGGAAAAAATGTTGATTTTGATATGGAAAAGTTTAAAATTGATAGAAAAACTAATGTTTTGATGAAAGCTAAAATTTAGAATTTTTTTGAAAAAGGATTTTTAGGAAATTATTTGTTTAAAACTACTTATAAATTAAAATAATTATTGTCCGAATCTAGGCTCGCTCACCATTACAAGTAGTACTATGACATTTTCATAAATAATTTCCAAACATTGTTAAGTGCTCAATCTTAGTGTTGTCGGTTCCTGAAAATTCTTCGGATATCCAAAACCGAACCGATAAATCCTCGGTTCGGGTCGGTCCGGTCAGGAACCGACAACCCTACTCAATCTGGGTTTGCTTATTAACTCAATACTAAAGCTCCACTCACATATTTTTTAATATGAAGGATTCCACCATTCAACATTCCAACCTACGATGATTCTTAGGCCATCTCCCTTTCTCCAACATCCTCTCGGACTCCAAATTCTCTCGGACTGATCAAGTATATTATTGGATCGAAAATATCTCTCAAATGTCTACCGGTCAGTGAAAATATTCCTTTTTTCTGAATTTTACTGACAACTAACTAATTAAGTGAGGCATTTTCATCTAGGGAATTTATTTTTTAATATTTTTATTGTAGAATTATTTTTTGTTTTTTTAGTAGAAAAATAATTTTTATTAAAAAAATTTTTTGTTTAATAAAAATATAAATAAAATTACCACATATTTTTATTACTTTTCTTTTTCTATTCTTTACCCCACCCCCCCCCCCCCCCCCCCGCAATTTTATTTCACCAAAAAATGGACGTAAATTGAACTAGACATTATAGGCACAATTCCCCAATGCTTAATTCTCTTTGAAAAAACATTTAAAAAATAGGAGAGAGGACAAAATATTTTTTTGGAATTTGGAGAATTTTATGTATATTTTTTGTTTGTTGTTAAAAATATTTTTTGATAAATTTTTTGAAAAATATTTTTTTCATTAAAAAAATATTTTCCCCCCTTTTTCCGTTTAAAAATGATTAATTTTGACATGTGAGTCCTTTTTATTCTGATTTTAATAAATTAAATTAAAGTATTCCCTCAACTAGCCAGCTTAGTCAATTAGAAGTGCCATGCACTAGTTCTTCACTTCGAGTGCCTGACAGACCTATTATTGAAATAAGTAGGCGAGGGAGATGCTTTCAATTTTTGTTTTATGTAAGCTCTGTTAAATTTGCTTTAAAATATTCTCGTATTTTTGTGTTGACCCTTGAGGAACTTGATGCAGACTAGGATTGATTTGACAGCCAATTTATCCCAAAAAAAACTCAAAATAGGTTTCCTATTTAAATCTAGTCACTCAATTTTCGATTTTTAAAAATTTTTTGAATTTCCTTCTTAAGCATGTGCCCTCTTTAAAGGGGTAAATTCACTCCTTTCCTCCTCTTTAGAGAGGAAAGAATTCTCCTATAATTTTTTATATAAATCGGTTTATTACCCTAATTTTAAGACAAAAAGGATCGCTTCATTTGAAGTATCGGCCTAAAGTAAATTTATTTTTAATTCAGCCCCTTATCAACATGAGATGTACAGAACAGTCTATTTGGGCTATAAGCACTTTATGCGGAATTTTCGTTCTGTGTGCACAGACAGCACCTATCTTCTTGGTTTTTAAAAATTAAAAAATTTTTTTAAATAAATTTTAAGCTCGATTGGGTTCACATCAGAGAACCTAGGCCATTAAATATTCCTCCACAAGGAGAGCCTCCAACATTGACTAGCGATGACAAAGGGCCTTTGGTAGTTAAAGAACTTAAATTGAAAAAATTTCAAAAAAAAAAAATTTTTATTTTCAAAAAAAAAATTTCGAAAAATTTTCAAAAAAAATTTTCAAAAAAAAATTTCCGAAAAATTTTTCCAAAAAATTTCAAAAATTTCAAAAAAATTTTCAAAAAATTTTCAAAAAATTTTTCAAAAAAATTTTCAAAATTTTTGAAAAAAAATTCGAAAAAAAATTTCAAAAAAAAATTTCAAAAATTTTTCGAAAAAAATTTTGAAAAAAAATTTTTCAAAAAAATTTTCAAAATTTTTGAAAAAAAATTCGAAAAAAAATTTCAAAAAAAAATTTCAAAAATTTTTCGAAAAAAATTTTGAAAAAAAATTTTCCCTAAAAGGAAATTCCATTTGAATATAATGCTGGATATTTCGGAATGTGTAGAAGATGGATAGCATCAAATCAAAGCCTAAATAGCGGAAATAATCCTATAGAAAATTTGCCTCCGCTAAAAGAATTGGAGAAAATTATTCCTTCTTTAGCTCCTGATACTTGTGTTTGGAATTCGGCATATTCTGGAGAGGATCTCAGCGAATTTAGTTTTGCTACTAGTGCAATTTTGGGTGAGTTGATAAAATACAGTCAAATCTCGGGTTTGAATACTTCCTGGCTTTGAAGATATCAAAAGGCCAAGGTCCGACTTGTTGTTTTTCTGGCCTTAGAACCCATCCCAGAAGCACGGTTTCAGAACAGGCTCCCAGAACTGAAGATGTGGAATTGTAAAAATTTTAGAGCCGACAGCAACCAAAATTTAGTGATCATATTGGGTTAATGGAGTGGATTAGAGCAGTCAAAGGTATCGGAACTAAGGTTGTATCGGAACTAAGGTTATCGGAACTAAAGTTGATGGGTAGTCGGAAATCTCCGGATATCCAGTATCCGAACCGAAAATTTCCGGATATCCGGTCTTTTTTCGTATCCAGATCCGACACAATTTCCGGATCCGATTCTAGCGAATCAACCTTAATCGGAACTATAAATTTGCCTAATAAAATTGCCTAACTGAAAATGTTCTTGCTGATTTCCTCTTCCTTCCTCCATATTTATCCTCCTTTTTATTATTTTTAATTTAGTCCGCCTTTTAATCCCAACAATTATGCATTGTTCTGGTGCTTTATTAACAGCTTTTGCTTTATTATTTTCATTTCTTGGACATTTTGGGCATAATTGGAAAACTATATGTTCAGCAATTTTGTATATTTGTGGAGCTTTAATCGTTCTTATTGGGGTTTTACAAGTGATTTGTATTGTGGATGATGAAATGGCACCTAGAATGAAGCCTAATGCGGCTGGAGAACCCTCTGTCTTTACTTTTAGATATGGCTAGTCTTTTAAGAATTTTTTAGAATTTTTCAATTTTTAAAGGATTTTCTTTTATGGCTGCAGCACTCAGTTTTCTACCCGTGCAACTTTGTGTATGGCTTGAAGTGGGAAAATTTTAAGAATTAAAATAAGCCAAAATTGAGTATTAGGATAAGAGTTCGGAAAGAGTCTGTAATTTAATTTGAATAGCGGAACTGGGGGATTTCAAAGGATACTCCAGCTCTAATTAGATAATAATCATCGAAAGAGTGTATGTATCAGTGATCTCTAGAAGGCATAAAAAATAAAAACCCAATTACAGGAATCAGGATTCCCAACCCAAAAAACGCCTGCTTTAGTGAATCCTGATGGCTAGAACCCTTATACCAGTGTTGCCGCGGGTACAAATTATCTTTGAGTACTGGTTTCGGGTATCGGGTTGGAGCGTTTTCATTTTGGGTTTCGGGGTGGAAAATTTTCTTTTCGGGTATCGGGTACAAAAAATGCCGGGTTTCAGGTGGCAACCATGCCTTATACGTATTATATTTTCTCGAGTTAAGTAAAGTCATTTTAAATAAATTTTCATTGAACTCGCTCAATTCCATTTATTCAAAAAAGGAATCTTAATTTTAAAGGTAACCGCCTTCTTTTTACGACATCAAACACCAACCGACAAAAGTCTCGTTGTACCGGGACTACATGAATTACGTAACAAATTTTAAATTATAAAAGAAAAATTTTTTTTCTTCTCAAGTCAATCAAGTTACAATAATTAGAACGAGAACCCATCGTTTAGGAAGGCTTGGAGGCTTTGCCCTCCAAGGTAGTAATAATGGGGGAGGAAGTAGTGGAAGGTTTGCAAATAGAAGACGGTCATCTAGAGCATCTAAAGATTTGAGTGGAATGATGTTAAGTGGGGGTGGTGGTGGGTTAAATGGAGGAGAACCTGTTGTTCAAAGAGTTTTTTCTTTTCAACATCTTTTTGTTTAAAAATAAAAATTTTTTGAATAAAATGTTAAAGTGGTGGTAGTTTAAATGGAGAATAATAGAAGAAAGGACAGCAAAATCCTACAATCTTTTATGAAGATTAAGCTTAAAAATTATTTTTTATACCGTATTTCTTCTATTAGAAGGCCACCCTCTAATAGAATGCCATCTTTGAAGGTGCTTGAAAAATAAAATGCCATGGCATTCTAATAGAGGAAATACGGTATTTGTATTCCTATGAACCTTATTTTTGCGGACAATTTTTTTAGTTTCTTTGTTTTTATGCAAAAGAAGTGCAAAAGCAGAACGAGAAAAATAAAAAAACCCACAAAAAACCCCTTCGATTCTTCAGTTCAAAATTAATTTTAAAAAATCCTTTTTTAAACCTTAATAAGATTTTTAAATTTTAAAACAATTTAAATATAAATTAAAATTTTATTAATTTTAATTAAATCTAGTTGAGGATCAGTCTTCAGTAAAAATAAATTAAACGAAAAAAAAGTAGTTTTTAAAGATTTTCATGACTTAAATAAAAATGTTGGAAATTTAATTTTAATTAGACCAAGTACTTTTTATATAAGATAAAAAAAATTTTTTTTGATTTTTAAAATTTGTTAAAGCTTTAGAAAAAATTTGAATTAGTCTATTTCCTTCCCTAAAATCCGCAATGTATACTATAAAATATTATTTCAGAAAAATCCCATTCCATATACAAAATCGTTAATAACCGTCAAAATATAAGGACTGGAAGACGAAACTTTACAAAAAACGGAAACAACCCTCTCAAAATTAATTACGCAATAAAAAGAAAATTGCGGACAAAGTTTGCGGATTTTGGGAAAACAACAAAAATTAAATATAATTTCTAAAAAGTCTGGGAGAATTTAGAGGAATGTTACAAAAATTAAAAGTCAAAAACATTTTCAAAAACTTTTCATTTGTTTGGAAGACGACCAAGGAGTACATTCAACAGAGTGAAGTCTTTCATAGGCAATTTTAATTCCACTCGCATCAGAAATTCCATTAATAGCGGTAACATAGGGAATTCTTTTTCCTGTCTTCTTTTCTACTTTGCATTTTTCATGAAGATTGAGCTTTAAAAAATTAAATTATTTTTAATCATTCTTTGGTAAAATTTAAGTATTTGGAAATTTTAGTTTGGAAGACGTCCTCTTTTCTACTTTACACTTTTCATTATTTTCCCAAAATCCGCAAAATTTGTCCGCAAAATTCTATTTGTCTAATTAATCTTCAAATTTTTTAGTTATTTTTTATTGGCTTTCCTATGGAATTTTTGCGGACATTTTACTCTTTTTCCTCATTTTTATGAAAAAAAATTAATTATTATAAGTTAGTTGACAAGGGAACATTCCGAACTGTGACCAAAAATTTTTCGATAAAAATTATACCTTCGTGTAGAGCATGGTCGATAGCCTATCCCTATATATTTCTTTTTTGGCCCTGACCCCCATTTCGAAAAGTTATGGGGCTTCAAAGTTTTAGACTTTTGGAGCGGTTGAGTCGCCCCCACTTTTCTTATTATTTGTCTTCCTAAAGGGAAAAATGAGACTCCTTTTCTCCATTTTTCCTTTCCTTTTCTTTTCCCATGTTGGTTAAAGAAAGAGAACAAGAGGAGAGAAAAGGAAAGGAAAAGAGCATCTCTGCCTTGCGGCTAATTTCAATTAAAAAGGAAAGAGGAGGAGGCAGAGATGCCTCTTTTCCTTTTCTTTTCTCTTCTCCTTTTCTCTTTCTTTAACTAATATTGGAAAAGAAAAGGAAAGGAAAAATGGAGAAAAGGAGTCTTATTTTTCTCCTTAATAAAAGAAAATTCTCTCTTATGAGGGCGACTCAACCGCTCCAAAAGTCTAAAACTTTGAAGCCCCATAACTTTTCGAAATGGGGGTCAGGGCCAAAAAAGAAATATATAGGGATAGGCTATTGACCATGCTCTACACGATGGTATAATTTTTATCGAAAAATTTTTGGTCACAGTTCGGAATGTTCCCTTGTGAGTGCAAAAATAGAATTAGAAGAGTAAAGGAAAAAACCGCAAACCTCCCACATTTTTCCCTTTTTTATTTAAAAATAATTTTAAAAAATCTATATTTACATGTTTTCCAATTCTAAAGTGTTCCCAAATACTAAATTTTTTAACATTTGCTAAATTGGCCAAAATTCCAGTATAAAGAACATCCTCAATTGGGAAAGCGTGAACATTCTCTGTAAGATTCATTATTGCTTGAACTGCTTTTGATGTAAGTAAATATGTTGGGCCGTTGGTGTAATGTGGAAATATTGGATGGGGAAAGTCTATGGGAGAGACATACCTTTAAAAAATAGAAATGTCTCAAAAAATAAAAAGGATTAAAATTTACAGACAACATAAGGAGAGTCCCCTCAAAGAACAGAATTTTATGGGTTATGGTCCAAACCCAATTGAAATCGGGTTCAACGACTTAAAATAAAAAAACCCAAATTTTGTACTTTTATGAAGGAATTGCCTAATATTGAAAATTTTAAAAGAATCCAATAAAAAGATTATACCATCTATGCTTTTCATTACGAATTGGAGACGATCTTTTAATCATTCCACCAAAAACAGCAGCAGGGTATTTAGACACTCTGTAACCAAAATCATTGTCTATCCACCAAAGAAGTCTGTCAAAATCAACAATTGTGTCATCATCAGTTTTTAGAATGTATTGAGCATTTGAACAGAAAATTTGTTGCCATTGAAGAGCTACATAAACCTAAAATAGAATTTTTAGTTGACTTTAAAGGCTTAAGGAAATTTGAGAAATAACACCTAGAATGATACTAAACAATTTCTCCCATTTTATTTTCACTTTTTGGTACTTTTCCGTTATACCTACCTCCTTCTTGCGGACTTTTTTTGCGTTCTCTAATTGAATTTGCCACAGAAAAATTGAGTGAAATTAAGGGAGAAAGGAGACTGACCATTCTTTACATGAGGCAGTCCGCAAAAAAAGTCTGCAAGAAGGGGTGGGCCAACGGAAAAGTACCCTTTTTTCTCTAAAAATGGTTAGTGTGCACCAACTCTATTAGTTACTCCCTAGAAAATCATAAAAAAGCAAACCTTCAAATACAAATTCCTGTAAGAATCGTCAATATCATAAACAACCAAATCGTCAAATTTGATCAATTCTTCTTGCATTAATTCAAATACTTTTTGTTCCTGCGGCCATCCAACAATGAATTTCAACACAATACTAAAATTAAATTCAAATCCATTAAAATTCAATTAAAACTACCTCCTCTCTGCCTAAAAAACAAAAATAAAATTTTATCAAAAAATTTCAAAAAAAAATTTCCAAACCAAATTCGCTCCCCAAGAATTTCTAATCATATGCCGTGTATAAAATCCATCAGCTCTACTCGGAACAAAAACAAACATTTTGGTCTTTAAAGGGCATATTCCATTTGGTGTAGGCAATATAATTGTGTAATTAATTTTTAAATTTTTAAAAGAAATGAAGAGATTGTCTGTTGGAAAAGGAAATTCTTCATAAGCAATTACACCAAAATTTTCAGTTATTGGTTCTGTATCAATGTCAATTGTCTCATAATCCTTTTGGTCAATTTCCAATTTTTCTTCTTTTTGTTTTAAGTCAGTCTTTTCAGGTGTTAGAGCTTTGAAATAAAAAAAAAAGTTTTCTTTAAAATTTCTTTAAAAATACCTTTAGAATGTGAAATTTCAATGTTTACAAGCATTAAAAATAAAATTAGAACAAAAGAATTCATCTTCTTGGAAAGGGCAAAATGATCAAAATATAAATTCTAATCCTAAAATAAAATTAAAAAAAAAATCCAGATTAAATCAAGCAGATATTTTCGAACGAGGGAAAAGAGTTCAATTTTTCAGAATAGAAATTAGAGTGATCAAATAAATTTAGAATTCTAGAAAAGACTTCAAAGAATAAAAAAACAAAAAATTTTTAAAAATTTACTGGGCAATATATTTTAGAGGCAACAATTCGCAACAAATTTTGAGAAAAAAACAACAACAAATAACTTAATTTTTTAGCCAATTTAATTTTATTTAGAATCCAATTAAGCCTCTGCCCATAAGTTCTTAAATGTCACCATCAGCCACTCTCACTGAAATGAACGATTTAAAATTTAGTAGAACATCAATTTATTGATCATTCCCATCCTAAAATCGTGGGCAAAACCGTAGGAGTAAAAATATAAATCCACTCAAAAAATTTAAAAAGAAAAAGATGTAGGTCTAGGTCAATAATTCGCACACAAAAACATTTTACCTTGCAGAAAGCATGCCACGGCTCTTAGCATATCGATTCATTAAGAGGCGCAATTTGGTCACAACTTCTAAAAAATATTGATTTATACATTAAATAGCGAATAAAAAACCTTCGGAAAAACGCAACCAATCGTCCAGAGCCAAATCGGCAACCAAAACATCGGTTATCGAATTCTCGAACAATGAATGAAGTCTACCTTTCTTAATGCTAAAGGCCGGTTTAGTCTGAAAATTAAAATATAATTCTGATCTATAAATTATATAAAGTTAAAAGAAGTCCAAAATCAGGACTAAATTTTTCAGGTCAGAATGATTTCTTATCAATCAATTTACTATAAATTTAACAAACCTTCTCGAAGAAAGGCCACTCAACATCCTTAATGACCTAAAAAATAATTAAATGATGATTTGGTTTATAATTTATCAACACCTGCGCAAATCCAGCATAGAACCCAGCATTCCACTTGAACCCCATAAAGACATCTTAAAAACAAAATTTTAAACTTTAACTCAACAAAATAAACCATCAAATCCATCGCAGAAAAAATTTAATTGTGTTTCGGTCAATGTGTCTTCCTTCCCATCCAAGCTCTGCAAATAGCCCATGGCTTTGTTGAAGTTATTCTTAATGGTTGTCTTTGTCTTAAAACAGAAAAATTAAATATTTTAAAATGACCATTGAATATCAAAAACGAACAAATATAATATTGACTATCCAACTTCCTTGAAGTTTGAGAACAAAAATGTCAAAATATTTCGATACTCTAATAATACTCCATTTAATATTAAGGGGGAAGAATTCAAGTATTTCTAGTAATAATTCTAAGGGTAATTTCTTTTCAATATCCATTGTGAAAAGTTTTTCACAATTGAATTCCAAAAATCATAGCTCATAAGATTAAGGCCAAAAATAAGGAAATATGCCCGTTAAATAAAGGCTAAAGCCATTGACACGACGTCAGAGTCTTATTTGTTAGCCATTACTGTGCTATGACTCTAATGCAAAATGGACTATCCGGCGCCTAGTTGGCCCACTAACAGATTGGCCGGCTTCAGTTCAAAATAGCAAATCTGGTATGAAATCTTTTGACATTTTTGAATCAAACAGAAAAATAACCGTTTCTACTTTATAATTAAGATATAAAACTGTAAACAGACCAAAGTAGCCATTGAGATGAATATCCAAAAAAGCAAGAATTATAGAGAATTTTACGTTTCTAAAAAAGATTAAATTAGAAAAAATGAGAATCTACATAACTAAATGAAGCGCGATAACTGATAATTTTGTACACACCCCTAAACAAAGAATAGTACAATCAATATATTCTAATTCGAGAATAACTCCTTAAAACATTCGGGAATGCGGGAGGAACATTAAGAATGCAAGGTCTATGAATGTTCTTTGAATTCTTTGAAAGGGAATGAAAGAATTAAAAAATATGCATACATGAAAATAAAAATTCTAAAAAAGGTGACTAGTTAAGAATGAAAAAGCTCAAGTTTTAGAAAGTGTACTAATTAGGGAGAATAAGGAGGATAATAAATAAATAAACAAAAGTCAACAAATTTAAATAATGAACACTTTTGTATTAAAGTTCCCCCTTTTATAGAAAAATTTAAAATTACAAAACGCCAAATTTTGAAATAGAAAAAAGTGCGAAGGAGGCCAATTGAGTCCCACAACGCGTGCGATCAACAAAGCAAAGGAACTTTTCCTCCTTGCTTTTTTAAAAGCTGCACTAATCTTTCCCATGATTTGGTAATCGCTGTCTTTCAGCATCACTTTTTTACTTTTGATCAGAAAAACTTATCTCATGCAAAAATTAAATTTTTTTCTATTTTAAAAATCAAATTTCAGTAAAACATTCAGAGCAATCTCTTTTTCTTAATCATCAAACTATTCATTAATTTAGCTAGATGTCGTATCGCAAATCTGGACCATATTCAGACAATACTTCTGTGGATGATGGTATGCCCTTTTAATCTAAATTAATTCGAAAAAAACTTTATAAGATCCATTAACAGACGACGATTCAAAGAAGAATGAGGACAGAATTCGAGAACTTGAGAGAGCAAATCGTGAATATGAAAGTACAGTTCAGGATTATCTTAGGCAAATTATTACTTTGCAAAACTCTTTGAAGAAGTCTCATGGGAAGGAATGTGCTGAATTGATTAAAGAAAAGTGTCAGGAAGTTGAAGAGGTTTAAAATATTTAATTTTGAGGTAAAATTGTCGTTTACTTCTTCCCTTTTTCCTCCCCAAATTTTTTAGGTGAGTGCTAACTCAAAGAACAGACAAGTCAAGAAACATAATTTTAAAAAATTCTGAAAAATCCTGAATTCCATGATTTGGTCATTCTATGAGTTGGTCGTTCCTTGACTTGTCTTTTTTTTAACTTGTCTGTTTATCGAGTTAGCCCGACAGGATTCTTCCTAGGAATTTATATAATGGTCAACTTTGTATTTTTTACCCTTGAAAACCCTCGATATTTCCTTTCAAATGTCTTCAGGCCAAAAGGTTTTCAGGGTGTAGGTCTTCACGTTGACACCTCATAAGTATTAATTTTTTTGAAGGAAAAAGGAGGGAAAATTTGGGGAGGAAAAAGGCGTAAACGACAATTTTACTTCAAATTTGACTTTGAATTTTCTTTTAAAAAAAGTTGTTGAAGAACAAAAAGAGTTTGGAAGAAGACGTGGAGCACTGTACTACAGATTATAATCAGGTTATGGCTACTTTTGCTGAGAATAAGCGGGATGCTGACAAACGAGAGGCCAAACAGGCGGAGACGATTAAGCAGCTTCAAGCGAAGATTGAACTGAAGGATCGAGAAATTGAGAAGGTTTGGAAATTTTGCCTTGTTTTCATTAAATTTTGATTTTTGTAGCTTCGCAAATTGATTCCATGTGAAGGTTATTGTCAGCCGAACGGTGCTTTCTTGCAGCAGAATATGACGTTTGAATTTTTTATTTTCAAGGGTTACTAGAAATTTAGGGATTTAAATTCGTGATCCTGGACCTTAGATCCTGGGCTTTGATCAGCTATAACTTTTCGATTTGGGAATCGGTGGGAAAAAGCCAAAAATTGGCAATAGGTTATCGACCCTGCTCTACACGATGGTGCAAAAAATTTTCTAAATTTTTTACATAAAGTTCGGAATGTTGGCTCTATATGAAATGAAGTCCCAAATCAAATTTTTTCTATCTTCCTTAAAATGAGTAATTTCCTTTACATTTCTCTCTATTTTTGATTTGTGCCGTAAGGCTATAAATTGAAAAGAATTAACTGAACGAATGTTTTGTGTCCGTTTCTCTGTCTGTGTCCGTCCGAGTTCGTCCGTGTTTGTCTGTCCGAGTCGTCAGAAACGGTTTTAAATCGGTTCTGCACCTTTGCCGGTTCCAAGGTTCGGTTCCGGACCTTTACCGGTTCCACGAACACGGACTCGGACAGACAAAACACGGACGAACTCGGACGGACACAGACAGAGAAACGGACACACACGGTCATAAACACACGAAAACACGTTCAGTTAATTCTTTTCAATTTATAGCCTTACGGCACAAATCAAAAATAGAGAGAAATGTAAAGGAAATTACTCATTTTAAGGAAGATGGAAAAAATTTAATTTGGGACTTCATTTCATATAGGGTCGGAATGTTTCCTTGAAAAGAAAACTCGTGGCCAGCAACACCAGAAAACTTTAAAAATCCCTAGGCATTACTACTCGAATTGCTGGGCTTAATTTCATAATTTAACAAAAAATTTTTTTTATAATTTAGACATTCTTTTATTCCAACAACTTCGAAAGATTATTTTGTCGAGAGTGCAATCAGTTGTCCTTTGGAGAAGAAAACTAAACAAGGAGGATTTTTTAGCCGTTTGTTTAGCCGTGAATCTGTTGTTACAGCAACTTGGGTATATTTCTTAAATTTAATTTTTTAGGGTTTTCGGGTTCTTACATAAACATGGCTTAACTTTGGTGGGTTATTTCCCTTTAGAAAAATCTAAAGAACCAAAAATTTGGGAAATTTGAACGAATTTTCTGATATTTTTTTGATGAGATTTTTAATTTTTCCGTCAATTTCCAATTTTCTCTAGTTATATTTGGCATTAAATTTATCAGAGAAAAGTTCCCCTAAAAATTTTGAATTTTTCAATTTGTAATTAAAAAGAGCGCTTTCTCCCAGGTTTTCTCCTTCCCTCCACTCCCCACTATTTTTTTATTGGTTTGATTGGAGGAAAATTAAAAGAAAAATTAGGGAGGAGAAGAAAAATAAGGGGAAAAGCATTAGAGTTCTCATAAAAATCAAATTTTTAAAATTATTTAAAAATATTTAAAATTATTTTTCAGTTTTTGGGATTCAACACTTTAATTGTCGTTCTCTTTGTTCACGTCTACATGTTTACTCAGCGGTGGTTCTAGAAAATTTTTGAAAGGAAGGTTTAATTTTCTTTGGTTTCTAGGGTATATTAGTTAAAATAATTCATTTAAAAAATTATTCTTTGTTTTTAATTTAAATTTATGCAGTCAAGGTTCTTTAAAATCAAACAAAATTATAGTTTTTTAACAAAACATTTATTTTTTTTCGGGAAAAAAAATTAAATCAATATTTTAAAATTTTTGAATAAATTTTTTCCGGGTCATTTCTAATTGAAAATCATTTTTTAAAAAATTTTAAAATTTGTTTGGCCTCTGGGTGGAGGAATCCATCTAATTGATACCCCCTCCTCCCAATTTAAAATACAATGTAAAATAATTTTTCGTCTCCAAAGGTGTATAGTATTTTATATGAGGTTCGACCTTAAATTTGACTGTATAATTTATTTATTTTTTCAATTAAAATTTTCCCCTGTGCTATTTATTCTCGATCCGTGATCTTTAAAAAATCAAATCTAAATTTTATTGTTTATAAAAAATTGAGTTTTAAAATAAACTCGGAAATACCTCAAAACTTGAAATTTTTCTAATCCACCAAAAAATTTATTTATAAAATTTGAAATACAGCAATATGTCAAAAATTTCATTTTACTTGTTTTTTAGAGAAAATTATTTGTAGTTCAACGAATCTCGTTTAATTTTCAAAATTTCCCTTTTTTCATTTCTTTCAAATTAAATTTCAGGATCAGCCCAATAACAATCTTCTTCAATTTTTAAATTATATTTATTCCCTCCATTTCGATATTCTGAGGTTACTATACGGAACCAGCCTTAAAAAAAGATTCTTTTTTTAATTTGTTATAAGATTATTTCAGGTGTTCCTTACCATTTTCACCCCAAGCGGTGCCCCAACTATTACGACCAATCCAATAGGGAATTCCAGAGTTTTCGTCTTTTCCCCATCCGACAACCTTTTTAGAATTGAATTAAAATTTTCAAAAAAATTTGTTCAACTTACGCTTATAATGTGGTTGATTTCCTGAAAATGTTTAAAATATTCGAAGAAATTTTTTTAAAAAATCTCTGACTTCATTAGTCTTTTCTTTATAAATACCGCCAGCATAATCATCAAACTTTTTGGTAGCAGCAATTCCACAAGCAATAGGTCCTCCTTTGTATATCTCTGCTCTGATAAAGAAATTTGATTATTTAAAATCCTCCTTCATTCTTTGGGGGTGTTGAAATTTCCCAAAATTGAATACTTTGCCAAAAAGTAATTTTACAATTTAACTGAGGTGCCTTTCCTTAACTGCACGGTAGCCTCCACTAGAATAAGGTCATTCTTAAGCAGAACGACTCCCACCAATTATCACAACAACAATTTTAGGGCTTATCAGATTCTTTACCTTATCAAGGAAACTCTTAATTAAAAAATATATTACTTCATTTTAATAATTCCAGAAACCGGCCCAAATTCTTTCACCTTGTAGAGAGTATAATTTTTGATATCAAAACATCTATCCGGCCAACAACTTCCACAACGATTATAAGGATCGCATTCTTTAAAATTTAAATACTTCAGATGTCCCTATGAGAACCCTCTTGGGTTGAAAAAGATTGTCGCTTATATCGGGAGTATCTTAAATTGAGTTGTCTCTTAAATGGAGGTATCTAATATTGGAAGTATCTTAGTGAGTTCCAGCTGTAAAAATTAAACTCCTCACGTCCATCTTTTGCTTGATAATTATTGCAAGTCTCATGTGGAATTCCATGTTTATGTGCATATTCATAAACTGGCCCAACATCTCCACCTTCACAACTTCCAGCATTTGCACAGTCTATAACTTCTTGAACTGACAAATATGCTGGTGGCCAGGCATTTTTCCTTTTAATGTTTATGCGGTCGGCTAAGGCTGAGGTTGAACCCATTGCCCAGCAAGAGCCGCAATCTTAATATTTTTTTGAAATTTTTTTTAATCTTTAAGGTTGTTAAATTTTTTAAAATTAATAAAAATATGAGCATATGTATGTATACATAGCAGATTTTCTTATACCCTTGTATTTTTAATCCAATCAAATGACCGTAGTCGGAAACGAAATCGGGAGATTCCTACATCTTGTTTGTTAAGTTTCTAATAAGGACCGGCCAAAGGACCGAATAAGTTTATCGATAAAAAACTCGAAAGCCCTAAAAAAACTCGATCGAAAGCTCGTTGCAGCTTCCAGTTAATCCACAAAAATTAATGTTCGGAAAACTAAACTTGACAAATTTTCCTTTATTTTAAATTCCCTTTTTTAAAAATCATTTTCCTCAGTTTCAACTAACATTGAGGTATATGCTGGTTCCTGTCCGCAGAAACATAATTTACACCATTGACATTTCGCCAGTCCCAAGTCTCCGGCAAATCCAGAGGATCAAAGTACCCCAATTCATAAAGTCGAGGTGTAATTCTGAAAGGGGAAATATTTTTAAAAATCGTAAAAGAGAACTTGTTTCTTCAAAATTCTCTTCAAAAAAATATTTTTTTATTTTCCTTAAAATTCTTTTAAAAATGTCTGCTTTAAAATACCAGTTTTTGGGGTATTTTCTCTCTCCAAAAAAATAAAATGTCAAAAAAATTGAGCCGATTTTTAAGGATATGCTTCTAGCTAGGAAAATAAAGAAAGACACTTGACAAGCCCCATTTATGGGGTTTTCAAGAGGAATCGGTAGGGAAATCGGGAAGGAAAGGTTAAAAAATGGGAGAAAGAATTTCTTGATTTATTTAAATATTTTATTCTCATTTTCCTTATATTGCAAAAAAAATTTATTTTAACGGTGAAAATGATATTGAAAACATTAACTATTTTAATATTAATTATTACATGTTTTAAACAATGTAGAGGAGAATTGAGAGAAATGGATGAGGTAGGGGAATAATAGAAGAATTGAATTAATCAAAAACAGATCTGTAATATGTAGAATTCCCAACAAGCTTTAGGCCGAATAGAATATTTAACTTCTCCCCTTAAATTATATGTAAATCAACGTTTAATAGGACCTGAGGATAATAAAGGACCTCAGAAAATGAGATACAAGAGAGAAGCTTTTGCTAAATCAAAAACCAGGATAAACGAGAGTGTTAAGAACTATGTATGAGCTTAACTAATTTATCTCCCAGTAAATAGGGCAAATCTGGAGGTAAGTAACAGGGATGGGCCATATTTTAAATGACGTGGGAGCCCTCCTCTCGACATTAAGTGGCCAGCCAGATTAAAAATTTTACTATCGAACGCAAATGCGAATGGTCAAAACAGGTGGGATTCTACAGAAGGTGGAAGACATCCATCTCTGACAGGTTAATTAGGTGTATGAAAGGTTGAGATAATATAAAGATTTCTGATTTTCTCATTTAAAACCCTTATTCTTTTAAAGCCTTCACGTTCAAAACGTCAATATATTACCAATGCCATTCCCCAATCAACATCTTCCTGCAATTGTCTTTCAAAATATACCCCAGTTAATTGTAAATGTACAGGAATGCCATCAATTAGCGATGAACTTTTATGTCGCTGCGATCGCGCAAGTTTGGCCAGGGAAGAGGAGAATAAACAACAATGCCCTTGTCGTAATAAAGGAGCGGCAAATGGCTGGGGAGAATCTGAGGGAGGATATTTCCCTGTCTATCGCGGAGAAGAAAGAAGTTCAGATTTGTATCCTAGAGCACTCAGCCCATCTGTTATTCATTCTGCTTGCCATCCGGTTAATTTTCTTGATTAATATTTTTGATAATATTTTGTAGAAGAAATATTTTTCCTAGGGGTTTTGTACCCTTATCATTAAGGAATCGTGAGTCTCTCAGATCCTGGACTCTCACATCCTGGGCTAAAAAAGATCAAGATCCTTTCACTTCTTGCTTCCTCCCTCCCTCATCCCTCCAGATAATTTACTTCCATATATTTAACTGGAATAGTTCTCTCGGTCTCTGAGGTTTGGGAAGTCTCTGTCTTCAACCTAGATAGGATCTTATGTGAGACTCAGATTATGACCTCAAAAAGGTCAAGATTTCTATTCCAAGAAACGAGATTTTTTGTTCTTAAGTTGAGAAATTTTAATGAAAATGTTTTAATAATCATATAAAATAATAATTCTAGATTTGCCACCAGTCATGTTTAAGTACATGTACTCGTCCTTATACTCGCGAAGTTGACCCTTATCGAGAAAGAGAGCGTTATAGCAGTGGATATGCTAACGATCAGGACCCTCAATCAGAAAATTCTTTATTAGCAGCTGATTACTCCCCTACTGGATGTCAAGTATCTCACTGCAGATCAAATTGCTTAAAGGCTTGTTCGAGGATTTTGGATGCTCATAGAGGCTTCTAAAATTCTTAAAATTCAAAGAATTTTCCCCTTTTAAGTACCCTATCAAGAAATAGAACCCCCAACACCTTCGCACTACGAGGTTCGTCCTGTTGACAGACCTATTTACGTAACTAGACTTCCTCCGCTACAGACAGACTATGGAGCTTCTGCTCTGTCTAGTTGTCAATGCTCACCTGATGCAATTTGCGAGTGCCCTGAGTAAAGATTTTTTGAATATTTTATTTTGGGATATTTTTCTTTCTTAGCCCTAAACTCTGTCTTATCACTGCCTTAGGAATATATTACGGGATTGGAAAAGCTGACGTCGGATATATTAGATGGAATATATGAAAATGTGGCCATAAGTTTGTCGTTTCTAATATATCTTTCAGATATTTGAACGAACCGAAACGAAAATCCTCAATTCACAGGGTTAATTTCGAACCGACAACCCTGGATGAGCAATAAATACACACAATATTTGTGACCAGATGGGATTAGAAAAAAATCCTTAAATAAGTGAGAATGTGTTATAAGATACGTGAACTAAGATAGAGATTTTGGGGATATGTAACGGATTATAGCAATAAAAACAAGTAGAAGATAATGATGTCATTTCTAATTTATTCTCTACCAGAAATTGTTTCCCCGTTTGTTTTGACTCTTGTGAGGCAAATTGTGACAAACAACAAATTAAAACTTCTCAAAATAATAACCAAAAACGATTGTGTGCCCAAACATGCCATTTTGATTGTCAAAGAAATTGTGCTGAAAAACAACAACAAAAACAAGCTAGAAGAAGATTGGGAGGAACGGAAATATTTTCATCTGGAACAAGTTCTCCACCTCCAACATTGACTTCTATAGCCGTTACAGAGAATAACAATGATTTGAACAATAATTTACAACAACGTTAGTAAAAATATATACCGTGGGATCTCACTATAAGGATACAACTTGGGGCTGGAAAAATTGTATCTTATAATGGGATATGTGTAAAATTGTGGGTATCACTTAGGCAGCCTTCCCCCTCGAATCATTACTATTTTGCTCGATTATAAGAGCTTTCTCGTTAATGCAGAAACCTCTCAAAAATAACAAGGCCTCTATGTAGTGTTCCGCTGGAACCGCAAATTTAGCCGGAACCGGAAATGAACCAAAAAATCCCGGAACTTCCGGCCTACCGGAACCGTAACTTCCGGTGGAACACTACCTCTTTGTGCTTCAATCAGTTAGCTCCGTTGACATTTTTTGGGCCGTGAACCATCCCTAGTCTAACAAAAAATAAAATTAAAATCTCCCTATTAAAGAAACAGTAATCAACGGACCAGCAACAAATTGTGTAGCTCGTTGTCCAAAGTCTTGTGTTGTCAGTTGTCTAAGCACTCAAACAAACGAGGATCCAACAATTTGTGTTCCAGCATGTGTTGCTGTTTGTGCTCAAGTTTATATTTGTTTGAGAAACTTGTAAAAACCCTCAATTAAAGTCTTGTTCTCGAGGTCTTCAACATTTCGATTCTCTTCCACAACAAAACAAGGGGGAATTAATTAAATCAGAATCACAAATTCAACAACAATTACAACAAATTTTATTACAAGGGCATCGGAATGAAGGTCTAGAGAATGGAACTTCGTATTCTAATGTTACTGTCCAATCAGAAAATGAAAAGAAACAAATGTTGGTGACACAGCCATCGATGTTTCTGAATGATGTTGATAGAGAAGTTAGTCCACAAATAGGGATATGTGAGGGATTAGTTAAAGATGAGTGAAAGCCTCGGGATATCTGGGAAGGGGTAAGCTAAGGTAACGATAAGAAATGAGATTCCCGGGATATATAGGAGGGTGGGATATGGTAAGACGAAAGGACCTCGGGATAGTGAGGGTGGGATATATCCAAAACGAGAAATAAGCGCCTTGGGATATATGGCAAGGACGAGAAGTGTGAGCCACTGATCTAACGCCATCTTAACAGTGGAAGTCAGAGTCCGTTTGTTAGTCGATAGATTGGGCTGAGTTGAATATGCGAAAATGTGGGATATCCACCTGAGAAGGTGGGAATAAGAGCCTCGCGTGGGATAGGCTAAAAGATGAGAAATAAGAACTTCGGGATATGTTGTAGATTTGGATATGTAAGAGATCTATTCTTCCACTAAAAATATTTTTATTCAAGTTAAATGACGGCCTTATCCGTTCCCGTCCATGTGCCCCACTCTGTCGCCCTCAATGCCAACGCGAATGCACTTCAAAATATGTTGAAGAACGTCAATCGCCTTTCTCAACATTTTCGGGAAGGAAAAGAGAATTTAATAGACAAAAAGGATTTTGGGATAATTTGAATAGGAAGAAAATTTTGAATGAAAGAAATAATCGAGTATTTCCCCCACATTATATTTTGCCCTTAAATGAAGGTTTAAATGAAGAGAAAAATAAAGAAATTAATAAAGAAGAAAATAAAATTATTAATTATGATAATGAGAATAAATCAACAGAATTAGTAAGCCTTCAAAACGAACAAAATCGGACTGAAACTATTGGGTAAGTTTTTCTTCTTCTTTAGCTTCTAAAAGACTTCCTCCAATTTTTCTATGTATCTCCTCTCTCAATATTTTTTGGGCAAAAAAGGGAAGAAAATAAATGCGAACTTTCGAAAAATGAAAAGGCAAAACAAAAACATAATTTCAGTTAATTTATGAAAACCTCTATTTAGTGGACACTACTCAGTGGGCACTTATTTTCTATTTAGTGGACACCTACTCTCTATTTATTGGACACTTACTCTTAATTTAGTGGACACTTACTCTCTATATAATGGTCCCCTTACTCTCTATATAGTTGACACTTTCTATATTATGGACTCATTGCTCTCCCTATAATAGACTCTGCTAACAATTTAGTTTTGAGGTCATTCTTTGGAATACTATCATTCTCGACACCTCATTATGACGGATCACCTTTTTCTATAGTCTCATAACGAGAGTTCACATTTTTTGAATTTTTTTATTTCCAGAAACAAGCAACATTTAAATTCAAAAAAATTAAATATTGGAAAAAAAGAAATAGAAGAAAGACAAAATAATTTAATAATTAAAACTTTGAGTAATTCGAAGCCTTGGAAAGTTAAAAATAAAGAAAATAAGGAAGAATTAAATAAAAATAATGAATTTAATAAAGATTTAAAGAAGGAATTGAAAAGAAATGAACAAAACAAGCCAAAATGGTTTTTCTCTTTTAAAAGATAAAATAGCTAATAATTTTATGTAAATTTTGTATTTTTAATTTTTTTTGTAATTTTAATCAAAAAACTTTTTTTAACTTGTGGATAATTATAGAAAGTAGTTCAGGTGAACTTTTTTTAAGTTCCGATGTTATGTCAAACAGGTCGAGTTGGGAAACCCGGGTCAGGAAGAAGTGTGGATATCCGGAATTTTCGATTCGGATATCCAAGGATTTCCCAAAGTCCGCCACCCCTTCTCATCATAAGAACACTATAGCCTGATAATTTCGAGGCTTGGTAATTCCTATCTACTACATTATTTAGTAGGCAAAAATACGTCCTCAAGGATATTTAATTTGGCTGAAGACACGGCCTGAATTCCATACAACTTCCAGACATATCCTGTTTCCCCCGCCTAATTGCTTCATCAACCTTTTAATTCCTTTACAAACAAAACCAAGTTTTCAGCTATTTTAAGGGGAGAGGACTTTGATGAGAATTTTAAAAATTAATTTACTCTTAATTATTCCTAAAAATTTTAAATTTATTCCTCACTTAATTTCTTTCCGCATTTCTTCCGGTGCAGGTCTATAACAACCTCTAAGATGCGGTCCAACTGCATACGAACTCTTTTCTGGCCAATTATTATTATTTTCACCTCGAGAAAGGTGCTCGTGGACATAATGAGAATTAATTAAAACAACAAAAAGTAAAATAAAAAATAATTTAAACAGCATTAATGTCTTCATTTTTAGAGGGCTAAAATTTAAAAATAAAGATTAAAAACTGGAAATGAAAATATTTTTGAAAAATGAAGGTTATTTATATGTAGAAGGCGTTGAAGGTTATTAGTCTGAGAAAATGACTATTAATTAATCTTTTAATGCTCATAAATTTAAAAATAAATTAATTTCTTGAAGGAATTTTTCGTTTAAAAAGAAAGGTTGACGGGGAAATTTAAATTTTGTTTTTTAAACAAGAATTCCTGACTAGAGATCTCCCCGAAACATTATCTCGAAAAAAATCTCGGTTATCGAGAAATTAGATTTTTCGAGATCTCGATTTTAGTACGACCCTCATAGTCAGGTCTCTACTCCTGTCATTTTCCTGAGATTTTTGTCAGAAAGATGTCGCAACTCCTGACACCTCTGTTTTCAAAATGTCAGGAGTTGCGAAAAGGATTGTCAGTTTTACCACATTTTGTGGTTAACCGAAACCGAATAGTAAGCACTAGGACGGACGGGGAGTGTTGTACAAGAATCGAGATCTCGAAGAAAACGCTCTGTTATAGTGAAGAGAAGAAGAAGATTTTCGCCATAGAAAATATGTAGGTAATTGTTTAAGAAACCTAAGCTCGTATCATTTTTATTGAGAAATAAAATAAATTAGGTAAATAGTATAAATATTTTTATCATTTTTGAAAACTTTTTTTAACTTTTATTTTTGCTAATACATATTTATTCTCAATAAAAAGAGTGAATGAATATTTGCCATTTAAACAAACATTTTTCATTCCCCCTTAATTTTATTATTTTTATGGTTTAATAGATTACTTCTAATGATAAGGAAAAGTAATTTTAGAGACATCATGTGTTTGGGCACTTTTATAAAATTTTACGTTTAGCTGATAACAGCAAAAATAAAAAAATGTATTAAATTATCAGCAAATTGCTGAAAAATAATAAAATCGACTTTTACCCCGAAGATCAAACCTAAAAAATAATTCTACCAAATTAAAAAATGGGAGATCGTGTAGAGTTAATTAATTTAGGAGGGACACGTCCAAGTAGATGTACGGCAAAGTGGGCGCAAAGCCATAACTAGCTTTCTGGACATTGCCAATTCTGGTATCGATCTCTTTAGCTCGATGAGAGGAATCGCTTAATACTTAAATTTTGAAAGACTTGGAAATCTTTAAGTAAGTTATGACTTTGCGCCTACTTGAACGTGGCCTCCCAATTTTGGATACTCCTCTTAATTAAATCTGAGATGTTCCTAAACCAAAAGGCTGTCAGCTTGAAACCGTAACTGGAAATCGAGGACGTTCGGTTCGGTTATGCGATGAATTTAAATAAACCGGCATTCCTATCTTAAACAGCCCCAACAACCAAATTTAAAAAATGTTTCTTAAATAGAAGTTTATTTTCAATTTAACTACACTGCTCCACATAATTATAAGTCCACCCATTTTTTCGGGATTTTTTGACTCCCAGTCATCCAAATTTTTTGAAAATTTAGAAACACACCTTTTAGTGAATAACTAACAAGGTGTGATTCGATTTTTGGCTGAATTTTTATTTAAAAAATTTTTAGACCAAAATATGTGTTTTCGGCCTCCACAAAATTATAAGTCCACTTTTCAAAAAAGATATTTCCAAGTTTAGGAAAAATCTACAAAAATTCTAGCAACAATATATAATGATATTATGAAAAAATAAAAAAGAACTAGACCTATAACTCTACCCGGAGCCGAGATCCTGAGACCTCAAAAATCAACGTAAAATGGGGGTAAGGCTCTTTAAAAAAATTTTTCGACCCCTTATCGATTATTTTCAATTTTGATTTTGGGCTCATTCGACAGCCCTTGAAATTTGCTACAAGATAGCATTAATAATATTTTATAGAAAATTCGATTAGAAAGATACGAGCCGTTAATCTTCTGATGCAGCAAAAATCGTCTAAATGCCCCATAAAATGCCCTCTAATGACACCTAGAAAGTTTATCGTCTTGTGTCTCTCTAAGGAATTTTTCTGAAAAATAAGACAAGTGCTATCTTGTAGCAAATTTCAAGGGCTGTCGAATGAGCCCAAAATCAAAATTGAAAATAATCGATAAGGGGTTGAAAAATTTTTTTAAAGAGCCTTACTCCCGTTTTACGTTGATTTTTGAGGTCTCAGGATCTCGGCTCCGGGTAGAGTTATAGGTCTAGTTCTTTTTTATTTTTTCATAATATCATTATATATTGTTGCTAGAATTTTTGTAGATTTTTCCTAAACTTGGAAATATCTTTTTTGAAAAGTGGACTTATAATTTTGTGGAGGCCGAAAACACAAATTTTGGTCTAAAAATTTTTTAAATAAAAATTCAGCCAAAAATCGAATCACATCTTGTTAGTTATTCATTAAAAGGTGTGTTTCTAAATTTCCAGAAAATTTGGATCACTGGGAGTCAAAAAATCCCGAAAAAAGGGGTGGACTTATAATTATGTGGAGCAGTGTAAGCTACCAATTTTATTTCCTCTAAAAATCTAAATAAATACAATCAAATTATTGCACAACTAATAAGCTAAAATGAGGTACATACTAATTTTTAAGTTAATTTTTGGCTGTAATTTATGAATTTTTTTTTATTTTTCCTTCTTCCTCCCTTTCTAAGCACTCAAAGCAACTGCTTGACACCAAATATTTTTCTTCACAACATTGCAATATCCATCCCCGCTGCTGCTAAAATGCACCTTATTTGCTGTAGCATCCCCAGCTTTAGCTTCATCTGCTGTTGCACAGACTACGAGGAATTTTTGCTCAGTTTCGTAACGCCGGAAGAGGGCGGTTTGGATTGAATTGACGGAGGCGATAGCGTCGTTCTCGTTTATTCCCTGAAAAGTTTTTTTGAAATTTTCTGAAAATTTAGAAATTTCTCTCACATCCTCAAGCAATTGTTTCCATGCAACTTGTGGGCAAGGGGTATCGTCAGCTTTGTAATGGGGCTGGACGGCTGTCTATAATAATAAAAAATCATATGAGCGATCGAAGGAATCTAAGAAAATGTCGCCTATAAAGAGAGGTATCATCTAAAAATGTTTTTGAGTTATCCCATGACAAAAGTGTCTGCTACCTCCTCTAAGCTCCGAAGGCTCCTAAAGCTCCTATGTATATCGAGCTCATATCTATCGAAAAGAACTCTCATTAATACACACCTTTTAATTGAAAGATACTCTCTATTAAGCGGACAGTAAATAAATGGCAGCCTGATCAGCTCTATTCAAGGATAAGGTCAGCTCTATTCAAGGATTTGAACTGTGGGTGTCTGGATGACATTTACTCTCTAGTAAAATAAAACTTAAGAGAGAAAAGGGGTATCCATGAGAAAGAGGAAACTTCTAGTTGAGTTACTTTAAGATGAAAATGGGTTGATCCTCATGTAGGGCTGTCAATTCAGGTAACTTTTTGCTTATAAGGAACCGAACCGAAGAACCGAACTTTTCTTCTGTTCCGGTCCGAAGAGGTTTCGAATCGATTCTGTCGTATTTTTCCTATTGTTATCACATACTCAATATTTTATAAAAATTCCATCTGAACTTAAATAAAAAATCAAAATTCATCAAACCTCACGCTTTCTACGTCCACAACATCCACCACCACCTCCTCCCCCACATCCACCTCCGCCTCCTCCACATGATGAACATCCACCACCTCCACCACCACAACCGCCACCACCTCCTCCGCCTCCTGGAAATCCGATGCCTTCAATAAGGCTAGCCAGGCAAATTAACATTCCAAGAGAAACCAAACAAAAGACAACTCTTGATGTCATTTTATTTATTTTATTTTCTGAGTAAAAAAAATTTTTTTTGCCTTCCAATATTTATTTTTAATTTCCAAAATTCCAAGACTCATTAAATTTTAAAATTTTCAAAATTTGTCTAGCCACTTTATTCTAATCCTCTCCTTTCTCTCTCTGCCCAGTGTAAATCACTTACAAAGGAGAGTGCCTGAGACACATTTATAGCCAGTTACAAATTGTTTAGTATATCTGGAGGATCCTAAAACTTTGTGGGCTTATAACTACGTCCACTGTACCATTCAGCAAGAATGGTGAAAATTTCACAACTAAAGTAGGGTATAATCTATCTGTCTACCAAATTTCATCCCGAAGTCCCACTTACACCTCAGGCACTCTCCTTTGTTAGTGATTATATAAAAAATACAGGAATACACAGGTATGTGTATTTACATGATTTTGGAATTTAAAAATAATATTAGTGCATATATGCTTAAAATACGGCTTAAAAATTAGGTTAAATTATCTAGTTCCTAACACAATTTTAAACAAAAAAATTAAATACGTAGCTAATTTTAATTTTATTAGAAGAAAAAGAAGAAGATTGATAAAAATAGGATTAAAAAAAATAAAAATTCTTTATTAGTTTTTATTAAAATGAGCAATAAAAACCTTCCCTACATCATTTTATATTGTGCATTTAAGGATCTATCAAAAACAAAACTTTTACAAAGCTGCAGAACGAGAATATGTTTCTTTCAAATAATTAACCAGCTCCTCCTCTTTCTAAATAATGCGTGAAAATATTTTTAGGACAATTCGGCGCGAACGTATTTTGGCGCAGACGTCTATAACATTGCCTTAAAAAATCCTAGAAACGTAAAATTTTGTACATACAAGCTCGAAAGTGTTGACTATTTATTCTGAAAATTTCAGAATTTTATCTAGATTATTTCAAAAGTTACAGGCGGAAATGTCGAAGCAGTCGACTAAATAATGCGTGTTAATGTTTAACATAAAAATTATTTTTTCTTAGCGCCCAAAGTCCTCTTCCACTCTATTTAATCTTTCAATGATGAGCATATTTCCGATCAGTGATTAGAAAAAATAAAAGAACAAAAAATATTTTTAGCTACCTCAAACTATTATTTTTTCGTTCACATATCGCTATAAGTGCCTGTAGGGATTCGGCGATTTGGCGGTTTAAGAAGGGATTAAGAGAAGAAGAAAAGACTGTCAAGTATTTAAATGATGAATTAAAAGGAAGAAGAAGAAGACTCTCATATGACTGACTTGTATTGTCAATACATTCCAGAGAATGCCCTTTTTATTTACCATCAATCAAAAAATTTGTTGTTGACTAGTTTATTTTGTAAAAAATTAGAGGAAAAAAATTAAGAGAAAAATAACGAGATTTCTTTGGCGGTAGAAGTTTTTTAGACTTTTTTTTTTAAAAAAGTCTTTATTATTTATGCATTATTTAAAGACTATTCTTCTTTAAATTTTCTAGTTTGACTGAACATAATTTATAGTTTTGTTCTCTGGGACAATTCGGCGCGAAATTGTTTTGGCGCAAGGGTCTATAAAATTGTAGTAAGAAGGCCTAAAAATCTGAAATTTTGTTTTTACACACTTGAGAGTGTTGACTATTTATTCTGAAAATTTCAGAATTTTATTTGAATTATTTCAAAAGTATGGGAGAAAATGTGGAAACAATCGGCTCCTTAAGAACATTCAACTCATATAAGAATAAAAATTCTGAAATAATTTATCAAAAATTCTGAAAATTTTCTGGTAGGTAGATAACACCAAATAACACTATTTCACAGTCGGACCTTGCTATATTTTCACTTTTAAATTAATTTTGGTTCATTCTCCCTCTACCCAATACGTTTTTGTAAACATTTAGTCGGTAAAATGCCATCAAAACTTCTTCAATATATTCTTCTATTTACTCTCATTATCTCCTTAATCAGTCTCATAGAGGGATGTGGTTTTCCAAGTGGTGGGGGAGGAGGTGGTGGATGTAGCTGTGGCGGTGGAGGAGGCGGGTGCGGGGGCGGCGGGGGTGGTTGTGGAGGGGGAGGTGGATGTTGTGGACGTAAGAAGCGTGAGGTTAGGTTTAAGCCTGATCAGGAAACAACTACAAGAACAAACTAAAAATATTTTTAGGCAGCTGTCCAGCCTCACTACAAGACAGATGACACACCATGCCCACAAGCTGCATGGAAACAAGTTATAGAAGAGGTAGAAATTTAGGGGTTATCCGGTCATTTTACTGGAAGTAAGGGAAGAACTATTGTTACGGAAATGGAACGCTTTTTACTAAATACTTATATACGTTTTGAGTTATATTTAATTTAAAAAAATAGTCTTATTGTTAGGAAGCAACCTTCGTTCGAATACAATTTTAAAGAAAAACAAATAAGCTCTAACTTAACTAGTGATAAATTAAAAATTTCTCAACAGTGTTAAGTCTACCCTCACTATAAGACACCCAAAATAGTAGATACACCTCGATTTAAGATACGTTTCTTAAAATTTGGTAGGCCACCGAAGCCGCCTAAGCTTCCTGTTTAGTAGAATATACCCCAACGTAAGAAGCATTATTTCGGTCCAAGTTACCTTATAATGGTTCCGATCAGGACTATCCGCAATTGCGTGGTTTTTGGACTTGCGGATTGCGGACTGAAAATTGCGGATTTTAAAATTAAAATTGCGGACAGTGAAAATTAAAAATATTTGTAGAGCATCACAGATAATGATGCAATAGCTTCAGTCAATTCAATCCAAACAGGCCTCTTCCGCCGTTATGATGACCAAAGATTCCTCGTAGTCTGTGCAACAGCAAATGAGGCCAAAACCGGGGATGCTACAGCAAATAAAGTACATTTTAGCAGCAGCGGGGATGGATATTGCAATGTTATTAAAAATAATGTTTGGTGCCAAGCAGTTGCTTTGAATGCTTAGAAACTTTTTTAATAAGGAAAAATAAAATATATTTATTTTTATGTGCAATAATATTGTATTTATAGTTATACACAGCAACATAACCTGCAACTTAGAGCCGTTTCAGTGGCACTGAAATAAATGAAAAATTTTCTCTTTTTCTATATCGCTCTATTTTTTTCGCATGCTATTTCTCTAAAGATTTGATGTATAATTTCGAGAAGCTTTATCTCGAAAAAAAACTTTGAGAAAAAAATTTCAACTTAGCCAAATCGTTAAACAAAGTCTTATCTTTGTTTTAAAACCAAATTTATTGATTTTTAATATGTTTAAAAAAAGTTACATATGGTTTTATAAGTAAATTTAGAAAATGAAAAATAAAGGAAAGATTGATTTGAAAAAATTTATTTTAATTTAAAATGACATTAAATGTTAATTAGAAAAGATATTATTAGGATTTCCTTATTATATAATTCATTTTCACTGAAAGGATTCGAACCTTGTGCATTTTTCGCTGTCACTAACCAACTAAACCATACTCCCGCACTGAAAGGCTGGTTGCACCCTCTGCCTGTTTTATGTTGCTGTGTTATAATGTAGTTAAAATTTAGTTTTTAATTTAAATAAAAAGTATTTACTATAATAATTTTAAAATGTTTGTGTAAGGATAATTCATCTGGCAGCATTTAAAATGCTTCGATAAGGGTCCAAAACGCCCATTACCAGCAAAAATTCCGATTCTAGATTTTTCCGGATCTGGATCCTCAAATCTCAAATGCGCCCCAAATTATGTGTAATCCTAGTAAGTATGTATAGATCCTCTCTTATTTTCTTACAGTTTAACTTCATGGGCACTTTTAAGTATTTTTCAATTATTAAAAGATCCAATAAAGCTTCAAAGCTTCACTCATCCAGGGCTAATAGTGGTGATTCCTAGGAACTCTTCGGGTATCCAGAACTGGAACCGAAATTTATATTCCCAAAATACAAGCCTCGGGGATTAAGTCTATGACTGGATGATTAAGAAGGATTTGGGAAGGATTGACCCCCGATATCTTTCAAATCCCCTTATATCCACATTAATCCTCCGATTTTCATCTTGGAATAACATTTCCTGTTGCCAATAGAAAGATATAGAGGAATTGGGATAATTAAGATCCTGCCTTAATCCATCCAAACCCACTGATATCTCTTAGTTCCTCGGAATCCGCCTTGATCCTTGTAAATTCACCAATATCCTTTTATGCTCCAAATCCACCATATTCCTCTCAATCCCTCCTGATCCCTCGATATACACCCAAATCACTCAACACTTTGTCTAAAAAAAACAGTTTTCATCCTTTTTCAGCGCCTTAAGGGAAATTCTGAAAATATTGAAGGCCAAGGGGTCCGATTTCCTCCCTTTTTAGGAACCGAACCGAAGAGTTTGGTCATCCCGAACTAAACTGAAAATTTCAGGAAACTGAGAAGCATGAGCAAATCTATCAGGGAAAACAATCTGGTTGGTGAGAATAAAAAATTTTTTTTAATATAAAATAATTTAAAATTAATTTTTTGAAATTTTTCCCTTTGAATAATTTTTTCAGGGCAAAAAAGGAAAGGAAATATACAAAAATATACAAAAATTATAAAAAAAAATATAAAAAAATATATAAAAATATATTTTATAGTTTATCATAAGGGCTCTTTCTCTCTCTCATTAATTAAAGGCCCTCACATGAGGAGGGAAAAATTTTTTACCTCGACAGGCACTTAGACAATAGAAAAAATTAAAAAAAAATTTTTTTTACCTCGACAGGCACTTAGACAATGGAAAAAATTTTTATTTAAAATTTTCCATTGTCTTTAAAATCTATTGTCTCTTGCTATCCCCATTATTCAATAAAGATTCCCCTATAACCCGCCCATATTTTATAATTTTAAAAATTTAATTTAAAAGGGGGATTGAAAAAAGAAGATTTAAACATTCAAATTTTAAAAATTTATCTAAACAAAAACTCCCCAAACTCTCTAAAAATGTCAAAAACATTTATTGTTCTTGTAATTTTCGCCATTGTTTTTATTGAATGTTGTGTTGGTGGTCGCAAAAAACAAGCACACCCTCAAAGCGGATATCACAATGAAGCTGCTGGTTTGTAAAATTGAGTTGAACATATAAGTTTGGACATATAAGCTGGTTTTGACACATTATATGGAAACTAACTATATATGGAACCTACGCACTGTTTTTTCTAGTTTTCAAGGCGCTGGTCTAGTTTATGCGTCCATTGAACTTTGATGCGTCAATCGAAAGAAAATTCGATTTTTCTTTATATTTTGAAGTTGGGGTTGGGTTCAGTAACATTTCTTCATGTTCGGGATCTACGCCCACTGGGTCCTTATCTACATATCAAAATTTCTGAAAGTTATAGGCAATTTTTAAAATTTTGAAAAACGATTTTAACTTTCAGAAATTTCGAACGATAGGGTAAGGAACGGTCCCAGACCCAGTGGGCATAGGTCCCGAACATGAAGAAATGTTTGGACCATACCCCAACTTTGCAAAACCAAGAAAAATCCAATTTTTTGTTAATTGGACGCGTAAACTTTTAGTGACGCATAAACTAGACCAGCGTCGTTTTCTCTAAGTGTAAAACGAAATTAGCTTTAGGCGATGAAAGTTTGGACATATAAGCTAGTTTTGACACACTATATGGAAACTAACTTACCTTTTATTTATTAAAAATACTTTGATAAGGGCTTTCGAATGAGCCCAAAATGAAAATTTAAATAATCTATAGAGGGTCGAAAATATTTTTTAAGGAGGCTTACCATTGTTTTACGTTGGTTTTCGAGGTATCATGATATAGTCTTAGGATAAAGATATTGGCCTAGTTTCTTTTTATTTTTTTATGATATAAGCATATAAGTTTGCTGGAATTTTTGCAGATTTTTCCTAATGTTGGAAATAATTTTTTGAAAAGTGGAAGTATAATTATGTGGAGGTGTTTACCAACAAAATATTTAGTTACCTGAGGACAATATTTAAACGATAATTTAAAAAATTTTAGGGGTCTAAATGGAAAAAACATGAAAATAGGGGTGGTAGTATAGTTATGTGGAGCACGGTACATGGTAGTTTTAATTTTATTTTATTGTAATTAAGAGATTGCCAAAGATGCTGAACTTGCTAAAAAAGCTGAGGACATAGATACAACAGAAGCTAGACCAAAAAAAGTAAAAGGGAGGGAAGAAACTTTATATGAGGTATTTTCATTAAATTTTAATTATTTAATATTAAAAAATAAACATTTTTTAGCACACTGGGAGAAGCAAGTTCGCAGCGAAAAATTCTGATGGAAAGTAAAGAAAAAGAAGATACATTTTGATTGAGGATTTATTTGGGCAAAAAAACATTTTTTTATTAAATTATTTTAAAATTGAGTCGTTGCCTTTCTAAGCATATTTTTCTAACATTTGGGTAAAAAATTGTATAATTTTGTTGTTTTTATTCAAATTATGAGTTAGTATCTATTAAACGAGACGGAGGTGGTAGTTATTAAAAAGCATTTAAAATGCTTAGATAAGGGTTAGAGATGTTTCAATTCAAAAATTTTTAAGTAAAAGATCTATTAGGAATAGTATTCACTGATATCTCCTTTAATCCATTTATATACAACGAATATCCGGGATTTACCAAAGATTTGAGTTGGAGTCCCAAACCGCACATTACCAGCGAAAATTTTGATTTTAGATTTTTTCGGATCTGGATCCTCCAATCTTAACTGTGCCTCAAATTATGTCCTCATTTATTTTATTCCAGTTTAATTTCATGGGCACTTTTAAATATTTTTCAATTATTAAAAGATCCAATAAAGCTTCAAATTTTCACTCATCCAGGGCTAATAGTGAGGATTCCTAGGAAATCTTCTGGTATCCGTATCTGGAACCGAAATTTATATTCCCAAAATACAAGCCTCGGGGATTAAGAGCTAGGATGGATGATTAAGAAGGATTTGGGAAGGATTGACCCCCGATATCTTTCAAATCCCCCTATATCCACATTAATCCTCCGACCTTCGATCTTGGAATAACATTCCCCGTTGCCAATAGAAAGATATAGAGGAATTATGAGTAATTAAGATATTCTTCTTAATCACTCCAAATCCACTGATATCACTTATTTCCCCGAAATCCATCTTAATCCTTATAAATCCACCGATATCCTTTTATTGCTCCAAATCCACCATATTCCTCTCAATCCCTCCTGATCCCTCGATATACACCCAAATCACTCAACACTTGCTCTAAGTTGTAAACATTTTCTTCCT